AACAGAGAGAGAGCTCTCTAAACCACTCACGCCCAAAGGGCTGGTGGGATTCATATCATCCCAGCCAACCCGGTAAGAGTACCCACCCTTCTCCTTGGAAGCAAACTTTGGTAAGAGTTTAACACAAATCAGCAGTGTCCAAAAGTCCCTTGCAAAGAAAGGGATGGAACGCACACGCGCGCGTCTTCGCTCGCGCATGCCGAAATGTTTCTAAAGCCTTAGGTGTCATAGGGATTTCAGAATCCATTGCCCCGAACATATATATATATATATACACATATATACATACAGATATCAACACATGTTCTCGCAAGGCGGATTCTCAAACAAAGCCTGCGCTTGCGCTCTTGCAGAATCTAGAGGAGACCATAGGTGTTCAACATGTGCTGGACATGCTACCAAGCCGGCCCCTCGCGCGCGCATGTCGAGATCGTTCGGACGCGTTTGCGCGCGTTCCGTCGCAAGAATCCTTCGCAACAGACCGGGCGAAATGCACGCGCGCGCGCGCGTCGTCGCGCGCATGCCGAGCGTTTGTTCTAAAACTTCTTTTGCGATTTTTTAAAAGACATCTGCATTTTTCCAACACCGTCTGTCAGTTCGGAGAAACGGGCCTCTCGTGCCGCATGCCGAGCTCATCCGAACGCCAGTGCGCGCGTGCGGGGGGCGGGCGCGATCCGCCACTCGCGCGCGTCGGCCGCGCTCGCATGTCGAACTCCTTCCAATAGCTTCAGCACCGACGCGAGGATATCGTCATCGTTCTCGACCGTCGTGATCAACATCGGCGCCGTCATGGGCCGTGCCGTCGTCATCGCCACCATCGTCACCATCGTCGCTACCCTCATCATGGTGTCGACCTGTGTCTGCGTCGCCATGAAACCGCGCCCGCTCACGCCACCGAGTCGCAGTGAGGTGCCCGCTGGGAATTGCGCCACCGCGGCCGCGTCGGTCGCGCCGCACAAGCTGGCCGCTGCGCGCGCAAGCAGGCGCGGGTTGGCGCGGTCGCAGAGATGCACCAGCCAACGCCAAGCACTCAGCGCAATCGCCGTCACATGGGTTTTGCAAACCAAGTTGCGGGAGGTTTGGTGAGATGATTGCGCGAGCAGTGGATATGTCAACTCATTGCGAGCATCTGTGATTTGCAGTTGATAGGGTGCACCACATAGATCGCACAACGTACAGTGGTCACAGGCAGCGTACTATATTACAGCACCCAGATCGCATCACATGTATTGCACCGCATACATGCCACCACGTTGATCGCACCAAATTGATGGCACATCGTAGATTGCACCACATACGTCGCACCGACTAAATTGCATGACGTAGGTTGCACCGCACGTATTGCACCACACATCGCACAACATGTATTGCACCAAGTAGGTTGCACAACATCGAGTGTACAGCGCAGATCGCACAACATCGATTGCACAACGTCGATCGTTCAACATACATCGCACCATAGAGATTGCACCAGGTAGACGGCACCGCGTATTTTGCACTACGTACACTGCATCACAAATGTGAAAGAGCGCACTTGTGGCGCACTTCTCATTAAATGGGGGGCCCAAGCTTCAAGCTACCCCCCCTTCCCTTGGACAAGACGCAGGGGGGAGGGCTTCCGAAGCTACCCCCCACCCCTTCCATGTTGTGGGCATTTTTGAATTGTGGGGGCCCTGGTTAAAAGGGTGGGGGAGGGTCGGAAGCTACCCCCGTTCGCCCTGCCCGGGGCCAAGAAGTAGCCCGGGTTTCCCTTTGAAAAGGGGGGGACTTCGGAAGCTACCCCCGTCCCTTCTTTTTCGCAGCCGAGGCTGCCTTGCCAAAGGGGGGGGTCGAAGCTCCCCCCCCTCCCTTGTTTTTCCAGAGCCCACAGTTAGAGCAGGCTTCCCCTTTCAAAAGGGGCGGGGCTTCCGAAGTTGCCTCCTATCATATTGCGCAGATCTTTCGCCATGACCGTTCCAGCGCCATAACCGTATAGATTTTGAGCAGATGTTTTGGGTCACTTCAGGCAGACAACTGTTCCTTGGCTGACTGCCGCGTTGGAAGAAGCAGCACGGAAACTACCCCTGCTTTTTTGCAGCTGAGATCGGCGATCCGTTGGTTTTGGGTGTTTTTTTTTCGGCGCATTGTTTTTTGGCGTTGTTTTGGTTCTCGGCGCCGCCATGGTTTTCGACGATCGTTTGGTTTTCGGTGTATCTTTTGATTTTCGGTGGTTCCTCGTCGGTTTCCGGCGCCGTTTTTGGTGTTCGTCGGCTCTTTGGTTTTCTGCGTTCGGTTGGTTTTCGGCGCTGGTTGGGTTTCGTTGCTGCTTTGTTTTCGGCGCCCTTTTTGTTGTCGTCGCCCTTTTGGGTTGTGGCGGTTCTTCGGGTTTCGGCGTCCCTTTGGTTTTCGGTATCTTTTGCTTGTCGGAGTTCTTTCGTTTTCTGGCGCTCTGTTCGTTTTCGGCGCCTTCTAGGATTTTGGCGCCTCCTTGGTGTTCGGGTGTTTTTGGGCTGCTGTGCGGCCTTTTGGACTTCGGCGCGTCTCTGGTTTTTCGTCGCCCTTGGGCTGTCGGCGGTCTTTTGAAATTCCTTGGCGGGCGCCGCACCGCCGACCCTTTTGGGCCAGCAGTGAGAATGCAAAAGCGGAGTCTGCGGAGCGCGCGCGATTGCTGGGGAATCTTGGGGTTTCAGTTTCTTGGCATTTCGTCGCGCGCGATTGGCGGACCGCGACTCCTCTCTTGGGATTCTCTCGGCTCCCCTGGCAGCACTTGTGCAGCGTCTTGGGGGCCGTGTTTTGTGGCCTCTGGGGGCCTCTTCTGGGCCTCGTGGGAGCCTCTTGGAGGCCTCTTGGCGCCTCCCCAGGTTTTTTCTGAGCCGAGTGCTCGAGATGTCCATGGGGCCGTCCTGGGGCCCACCTGGTTGTTTTGGGGCCGTCTGGGGGCCTTCTGGGGCCGTCTTGGAGCCCTCTTGGGGGCCTCTTCGGCTATCTTGGGTCGATCTTGAAGTCTGCTTGGGCCGTTGTGGGCCTCGCGAAAGCTTCAAAGGCGAATGTGCTAAAAATATACGCTTTCCCAAAGGATTTTGCTTCTGGAGGGCCTCTTGGGACGCCTCTTGGTGGCTTCTTGGGGCGTCTTGGGGGCTTCTGGGGCCGTCTGGAGACAACCTTGGGCGTCTTCGAGCGATCGTTCGGCGACTCGTAGCCCTCTTGGACCGTCCGGGGGGCCTTCTGGGCCCTTGGCTCGTTTTGGGACTCTCGGGGGCTCCAAGGGTGCGGCCGCCACTTATGCCCCCCCCTCCTCCAAATCGGCCGGACCGGGCTCCCGGGGGAGGGGTTGACGGGAAGGGGAAGCATCTCACGCGCCGTGGCCCCAAAGGGTCGACGGATTTCGGAGCCTTCCTTTAGCCACAGGGGGGGGCTTTCCAAGCTATTCCTTTCCTTTAGCCGAACAGGGAGGGAGGCGGGGGGGGCTTCTGGCAGGGATCGTCTCAAGGAAAGAGGCGTCCATGTGGTTTTTGGGGCCGCTCTGGTGTTCGGCGCATCTTCGGTGTTCGGCGTCGCTTTGGTTTTCGGCAATTTGTTGGTTCTTGGGTCATCGTTGGTTTTCGAGGTCCCTTTGGTTGTCGGTTCTTATTGTCGGTTTTTTGGCGCCTTTTTCGTTTTCGGCGGTCCTTCAGGTTTTGCCGCCCCTTCGGTTCTCGGCGTCCTGAGGCGAATCGAAGGTCTTCGGCGTCTGATAGGTTTTCGGCGCCCTACTGGTTTTCGGCGCTCATGTGGTTTTCGGCGCTCCTTTATGCTTTTCGGCGCATTTGTAGTTTTCCGCGCCGTCTTTGCTTGTTCGGGTTTCTGTTTGATGCTCAGTGACTCTTGCTGTTTTCGGCGCTCTCTGTGTTTGTGGCGCTCCTTTGGTTTTCGACGCCCTGTTGACTGTCGGAGCATAGTTTGTTTTCGGCGTTCCCTTGGTTTGTGGCGCCGCTGTGGTCGTCGGCGCTCTCTTGGTTTTCGGCGCGCTGTTGGTTCTTTGGTTTTTTCGGCGCTCTTATGGATTGCGGCACCTTTTTGGTTTCTGTCGCTCCTTTTTTTGTTTGGGTTCTCGGCGCCATTCGGATTCTCTGTGTGCTTTTGGTTTGCGGCGCTCCTTTGGTTTTTGCTGTTCGTTTTCGCTTCGGCGCGCCTTTGTTTTTCTGCGCATCCTTTGAGTCTGGCGACCTGTTGGTTGGCGGCGCCCTTTTTGCTCCTTTGGGAGTCCGCGTTCTTTCGTATTTCCGCGCTCTTTGATTTTTCGCGGAATTTGGGGTTTCGGGGCAGCGTTGGGTTTCGCTGTTCTTTCGGTGTTCTTCAGGTTTTCGGGGGCGGTGAGGGGGGAGCTTCGCTTCCGAGGAGCAGGAAAAAAACGGGGGGGGGGCTTCCGGCATTGGAGGTCCAAGGGGGAGGGTAGCTAAGCCGCCCCCCTTGTAGGAAAGGGAAGGGGGGGTAGCTTCCGGAGCGCGAAAGGGAGGGGGGGGAGCTTTCGAGTGGCGGAAAAACAGGCGGAGGGGGGAGAGGTTCAAGGGGATGGGGTAGCTAAGCTTCCCCCCCTATGGGAAAGGAGGGGGGGGGGTAGCGTCCGGAGCGCGACAGGAGGCAGGGGGGGGGGTAGCTTCCAAGGGGCGGGAACAAAGGAGGGGTGGGGGGGCTTCTGGCAGGGAAGATTCAAGAACAGCGGGGGGTAGCTAAGCCTTCCCCCCTTTGTGGAAAGGGAGGGGGGTGTAGCTTTGGGAGCGCGAAGGGGAGGGCGGAGGTGGGTTAGCTTCTGAGGGGCGAGAACGCAGGAGGGGAGTGCCTTCCGGCAGGGCAGGTCCAGGGGGGGGGGGGTAGTTAAAAGGGCCCTCCCCCTTTTGGGAGGTGCATAGATGTAACATTTGTGCATACGCATGTGTGTATATATATATACACATGAGTATACACGTACATACACATCTGCATGTATGCATCTGCGTAGTCTGCATACAGCAGATGCACCGCCCAGAGCCCTTTCCTCCCCGATGCCCCTGCTCCCCGTCGCCCCCTCCTCTTGCGCGTGTCCTCCGCAGCAGCGGCTTCCCCCCCGAGGAACCCGCGCGGCCCGCGGAGCTCGGGCCGCGGGGTCTCGGGCGCGCCGCCACCCACAGCGCCTCGCTCCCGGACCTGCGCGGGCCCCCGCCGCCAGGCGGGGGGTGAGCCGGACGGGGCTGGCAAGCAAGGAAGCCGGGCACTGCACGCAAGAAATGGGTACTGAAAGAATGGGTACAATGCCCAACAGCGGATCTTGTTCATTTGGAACAGGGCTCGCTGTCCACGCCGCCGTGGCCTGTGTCCATTCGAGACAGGAGGCCGCCTGCCCAACAGCGGCCGCTGTTGGTTTGGGACAACATTTGCTGTTGGGCATTGTACCCGTTCTTTCGGTACCCATTTCGGTTGTCCGAACAGGCGCCCAAACGGCGCAATAGGCAGGGCAACAGGCTCTTAGCACTACGCTCAGGAGAGTGTGCAAGGAAGAGGGGGGCGAGGACGCGAGGAGGGGGGGGGAGAAACAGCGGTCGGGGCGAGGAGGAGGACGCGTGGGGGGGGGGGTGGGACGGGGTTAGGAGGAGGAGAGATCCGTTCCAGAGCGTTCCGGAATGCACGCTCCCAGGGCGTTCCAGAACGCTCCGAGAAGGCCGCGGCGCCCGAGACATCCTCCAGATCTGCTGGGTCTCAAAGATTCTCGATTCCCAGACCGCCGACGTCATGATTTTTTCGTCACGTCGACACCCAGAGGTCTCGACCGATTCCCTGGGACCGGTTTCTCATCCTGAGCCGCTTTTTGACGGTCCCGAGGCCCGTCGAGGGCCTCCAGATGCCGAAAATGGAAAAATCTCGTCATGCTTTTTTGATGCTTTGAGGGGGTCTGAGCTTACACGTGCCCGATCTTATTTTCGTCCTAGTTTCGTCTTGGTGGGGGGGGCGGGGGCAGATTGGCTCCCGCCCACAGCAGTGCCTCGGGGTGGCTTGCGCTATACGATGAGACAACGCCGACGCCGACGCCGACGCCGACGCCGACGCCGACGCCGACGCTGACGACGACGACGACGACGACGACGCCGCAGCCGCCGCCGCCGACGACGACGACGACGACGACGACGACGACGACGACGACGACGACGACGACGACGAGGATGACGACGACGCCGACGACGACGACGACGACGACGGGGGGATCTGCAGTCTCGAGGGGAGGAAGGGGCACCGATGCCGCTGCCCCTCCGCCGCCGCCGCGGCTGGGCTCGCCTCGAGATCCCGCCGGCCAGAGCGCGCCCCAGGACGCCGGCACGTGGAGCTGCTGCAGCGGTGCAGTCGGACCGGGGTGTGAGAGCGAGGTCGGTTCGGGGAGGGTGCCCTATGGAGTTCTGCGGGTTTCCCAGGGCCCCTTGCGATGCATCGGCGATGCGGCTCGATGCGGGGCACGATGCTCCACGCCGACGTCGCCGATGCATCGCCGACGACACCAGTGCAAGGCCGATGCATCGCCGATGCATCGCCGGTGCATCGCCGGTGTATCGCCGATGCGGAGAGATCCTCCGGCCCCATCCACTCCGAGCCCATCCAGGCGGCTTCTACCCTTCGCGTGGTGAAGCAACCGCGACGCGAGGTCTTTCGCTGTTTTCGGCCTTGGGGGGCCCTCGTCGTGCCTCGGGACTGTCAACCAAAACGACTCAGGAGGGAAAGCCGGCCCCGGGGGAAGGGGTCCAGACTTGTGGGGGTCGACGCTGTGGATCTGCACGGACGAGATGGGCACGGAAAGAATGGGCACGATGCCCAACAGCAGTTCCTGTTCATTTGGAACAGGACTCGCTGTCCACGCCGCCGCGGCCTGTGTCCGTTTGAGACAGGAGGCCGCCTGCCCAACAGCGGCCGCTGTTGGTTTGGGACAACATTTGTCGTTGGGCATTGTACCCATTCTTTCCGTACCCATTTCGGGCGTCCAAACCAGGCGCCCAAACGGCGCAATAGGCAGGACAGCAGGCTCTGAGCACTACGCTCAGGAGAGTGTGCAAGGAAGAGGGGGGCGAGGACGCGAGGACGGGGGAGAAACAGCGGTCGGGGCGAGGAGGAGGACCATTCTTTCCGTTGTCATTTCGGGCGTCCATTCTTTCCGTACCCATTTCGGGCGTCCAAAGTGGACGAAGAAGCACTGCGTCGGGGCCCGGGGCGCGCGTGACTCTGGCAGACGGCTCCTGCTCTCATGGCTGGGCGTCGCACAGTGGGGGGGGGGCGGTGCATGGAGGGGCAGCGAGGGCTGCAGCATAGGGGCCCTCCTCCTCCTCCTCCTCCTCGCCCCTCCTCCTCCTCGCCCTCCTCCTCGCCCTCCTCCCCCTCCCCCTCTTCCTTCTCCTCCTCCTCCTCCTCCTCCTCGTCGTCCTCCTCCTCCTCCTCCAGGAGGCCCCTGCAGGAGCCCTTGAATGCCCAGAAGGGGGCCTTCCAGGCCCGAAAAGTGCGCCTTTCCTCCCCTCGCAGTAGTCGCCCCCCCCATTGAGCGACGCCCTGCATGGGGCGACGTGCTTTGCTGTTGTGACTGGCGATGGGCTGTGGGCTGCCGCCTTGCCTGCAGCAGCCTCACTTGTGTGTGTGTGGCTTCCGTGGATGTGTCTGTCAGGAGTCTCGTGGATGTCGCAGACGCGATCACTGCTCAAAGGGGCAACTAACCCATGCCCAATGGGACGCACCCAAAGTCAGACTGGCCGAATCTAGAATCAGCTAATGATTTTTCAAACCGTCAAACTGGGGCCCAAGAAAGAAATCCGTCCCCGGGAATGGGGTTCCCGCACCCCTCTTTCCGGTGAGGTCGGAAACGGTCTCGACGTCGATGTCGCCACATTGTTTGACGCCGTGGTGGTTATTGTTTTCCACGTCGACGTCTTCTCCTTGTTCGTTTTTGTCGCGTTTGCCGTCGTCGACGGCGACGTCGACGTCGAGCGATTGAATCGTGAAAGTGGCTGTGGCTGCCAGCACTTGGAAGCCGACGCATCGAGGTGACAAGTTTGTTTCGCCCTTGCCCTGGCTCAGACGAGGACGAATAGGTGCCTGACGGTTTAGTCACGTGTTGTTTGTCGACGCCGCCGTTGTCGTCAGGAGCGGTTCTTGTCCCAGACGCAGCCACCGAATGCATTTGTCGTTGACATGTTGGATTGGTGTCGACAGTGTTTCGTTTGAATTTACTGTGGCGTAGATGTCGGCGAAGGGATCGACGCCTTCGTCGTCAGCGTCGGCGTCGTCGTCGTCCTCGTCTTGGTCGGCTTTGACGTCGTCGTGATCATCACCGTTTGTCCTCGTCGACGTCAACGGTCTGCGGTTGAATGGTGGCAGTGGCGTAAATAGTATCAAGGTCGACTCGGCCCTTTTGACTCCGACGGTTGCGAAAACCCGGTTGACGATCTTACTTGCGTGATTGTCGTGGACGCCTCCGTCGTCGTCATAAGGAGAGGTAGGTTTCGTAGCTTAGGCAATTCGTGCACGCATGACGATGCTTTCAAAACAAGGGATGACAGTTTCTTTATCGTGAAAACGTAAGTGTGGGTCTCGTGCACTTCATGCCCAGGGTATGAGACGCCTGGCGGATGGAAACATGCAGCTTCGGATCATTGTTTTTATATGATGTTCACGTGCGATGTGGAGCCAGTGCAATGCATTCCACAGTAAGATGCTCCGACGCTTTAAGCAGAACTGTCGGGGCTACACTTCGAACCATCAATGGGGACATAACGTCTATCCAGGATTGTATGTTCATGTATTGTTATTTAGAGGTGGAAGCGGAGTTGTCTCATGCTTCCTTGTGTGGTACCATTGTGCACGTGCTCTGATCGCGCATCATGTCTCAACGGGTTAATCAAGTCGCGCCGCTACGATTCGTGCGTCTCCCTCGCCAGCATCGTCCTGATTCCAGTCGGTTAAGTTCCTGGCCTCCGTTCAAATATCCGAGCATGTTGTCATCAACGCTTCCCGCCCCTCCCCTCCCTTGCCCTTCTGTGCCCCGTCCTTCCCTGCCCTGCCTTATGGCAGGCTCGGCTGCCGCGCCGACGCGGCGACACGACACACGCGCAAAAGCGTTCGAGCTAGGACTGCCGCTGGCGGTTCGGCATCGGCCCGCATCGAACGGTCCGCGCTGTCGGGAAGCCGCCATCGTTCAAGGCTGAATGTCAGAGGAGGAAAACGTACCCATACCTCTACCCTTTCCTCGACTTCCTGTTTGTAGGCCTCCTGGGGGGCCCTCGTCGCCACCGCTGGATTCGCCTCGAAGCCCTGGTCAGAACGCACCCAGGGAGAGGCCCGAGGAGTAGCGGTATCAGTGCCTTTGGGTTTACCCAGAACAGCCCACGTTGTGTGTCAGGAGCCGATGCCTGCCGCCTGCCTGTGCCCTGTCTCCCTAATTCAAGCTGTGCGTAGCCCGCCTAGCTTTTAGCGGAAGAGGTTCGCTCTCGCCCCGCCGACCAAAAAAAGTGTCAGAAGCCAGTGCCGACCGTCGCCACGGCTTTTTGAAAGAAGCGCGGCGGAAGCCCTGTGGCACGGAGGGGGAGGACGCGGAGGCAGGGAGGGGGGAGTGAGGCAAGGGGTGGCGCGCGCGCGCGCTCGCGCGATGCCGCGATTTCACTCATGAGTCGGGTGTCCTCCTCTTCCTCCTCCTCTTCCTCCTCCTCCTCCTCCTCCTCCCCCTCCTCCTCCTCCTCCTCCTCCTCCTCCTCCTCTCCTTCCTCCTCCTCCTCCTCCCTCCTCCTCCTCCTCCCCTCCCCCTCTCCTCCTCCTCCTCCTCCTCCTCCTCCTCCTTCTCCCCCTCCTCCTCCCCTCGCGTATTCTGCCCCTCGGCTGCTTCTTGCAGGAGGGAGAGAGACGTGACACCACCAGCAGCAAGGGGGGACACCTCCAGCGAGGAGGTCCACGATGCCGCCCCGAGCTGAGCCTAAGGGGATGTCTCCAGCGAGGGGGGGGGGAACCGCACCACCAGGGGGACAACCAGGGCGAGGAGCCCAGGTTGTCACCCCCTTCACTCCTCCCGCTCGTGGTCCCTGGTGGTGGTGGCGGTGTCGCCTTTCCTTGTTTATATCTTGCCCCCCCCCTCCTCTCCTCCCCCTGCTCCTCGTCCTTCTCCTCCTCCTCCTCCTCCTCCTCCTCCTCCTCCTCCTCCTCCTCCTCCTCCTCCTCCTCCTCCTCCTCCTCCTCCTCCTCCTGTTATTAAGGATGCGCGGTAAGGACGCAAGGGCCTTGGAAGTCCATGCAAAGTTTTTTTGAGCGAGGTTGGCCAGTGAAAGTCGTTAAGGATGGGCCGAAGGGGCAAGGTTGCAAGGGGTACCCTTGCGAAGATAGCTCATCATTGTTATGCGGGTTGACTGTACATCCTCCCCTCCTCCCCCCTCCATCGGAAGCGGGAGGCGGAGGCAAGATCGGGAGACGGAGAGCGCTGCCGACGGGCCTCTTCGACGTCGAGGCGCCCGGTGGGCCTCGCGCTCGACGCCCCGCTTCTCCCAGCTCTTCGCACCCCCCTTCGCCCCTCCTCTGCTTCGTTGGCAACTCACGGGAGCCTCGTCCGTCTTCGGAATCCCTTGTTTGGAGCGGAGCAGGCGCCCCTTTGGCGGCGATGAGCGTCGATTCCCCAGAGCTACCGAGATGGCATGGGAGGTTCCCATTGGTTGCCACAGAACTTTCCCAGATCTTAGTGGGCCCTGGAAACGACAGGGCCGTTTTTTTACCGGTTCCGTTTTGTAGTTTTTTTGCCGGTTCCAACGCCGTTTTTTTACCGGTTCCGTCGCCGTTGTTTGACCGGTCCGGGCTCCGGTCCCAACCCTGGAGCCGTTTTTTTGCCGTTTCCGGTTGCCGTTTTTTTGCCGTTTCCATTTTCAAGAGACGTTTTTTGGAAACGGTGAAAAAACGGCTCTGCCGTTTCTGGGGCCCACAAAGTCCCAGATCACCCCCAATGCGCGCCAAGATCAGCGCGCTGCGCGCGTCGCCGGTCTGGGCCAGGGCGGCGCGGGGGCGTGAGGGCGCGAAGGCAGTCGCGCGCCGTGCACCGCGGGGCGCGATGCGCGAAGTCGGGTGACCTGGCTTCACCCTCTCCCTCTTCGGAGGGCGTCAATTTTGCACCCAACGCCGACCCTTTCGAGGCTGACCCTTGGGCCCTGGACTTGGTGCAGAGCACGCCTCCCCGTCCGAGCGCGTGAGGGCGTGTGTGCCGACCGCAGGGCCCAGGATGGGACTGGCCAGCATCAGTACAGGCGCCAAGGTGGCGTCCGTTATGCTGCTGGTGCTGCTGCTGCTGCTGCTGCTGCTGCCGTTCCTTTCCATCCTCCTCCTCCTCCTCCTCCTCCTCCTCCTCCTCCTCCTCCTCCTCCTCAATCTCCTCCTCCTCCTCCTCCTCCTCAATCTCTTCCTCCTTCTCCTCCTCCTCCTCCTCCTCCATCGCCTCCTCCACCTCCTGAGATACGGGCCACCCCTTCTCCTCTCCCTCCTCATCTTCCTCCCCCCCCCCTACTGAGTTGCGGGCCACCTCCAACCCGAGACGCCCCAGGATGGCCAGGTCTGCGGAGGTCCGCACCCAGCTCAGAGCCCCAGGATGGGAGGCTGCTAGTGCTCGGTCGTTTGCACATCTCTCTCTCCCTCTCTCTCTAGCTATCTCTCTCTCTCTCTCTCTCTCTCTCTCTCTCTCTCTTTCATACATATATATGTATATTTATACATATACCGTAGCACCCCGCACATGCGGATAAGAGTGAGGGGGCGGTGGGGACGTGGGCAGTGTGCGAGACTCTGGAGAAGCTCGCCGCAGGCGCGAAAGTTTTACAAATTATTCAACGAGCCCGCCGCGGGAGCCAGTTAATCTCCAATGTAGATCGGTCGCGGGTGGGTCGCGGGTGGGTCGCGGGTGGGTCGTGGGTGGGTCGCGGATGGGTCGCGGGATGGGTCGTGGGTGGGTCGCGGTGTCGCGGGGTGGGGTCGCGGGTGGGTCGCGGGTCGGTGCGGGTGGGTCGCGGGGTGGGTCGCAAGAGGTGGGTCGCGGGGTGGGTCGAGGGATGGGTCGCGGGGAAGGTCGCGGGGTGGGTCGCAAGTGGGTCGCGGGTTGGATCGCGGGTCGGTCGCGGGGCGGGTCGCGGGGCGGGTCGCGGGGTGGGTCGCGGGGTGGGTCGCGGGGTGGGTCGCGGGGTGTGGCGCAAGTGGGTCGTGGGGTTGGGTCATGGGGTGGGTCGCGGGGTGGGTCGCGGGGTTGGTCGCGGGGTTGGTCGCGGGTGGGTCGCGGGGGGGACGACGACAACACTTAACAACACCAACAACAACAACAACAACAACAACAGCAACAACAACAACAACATCAACAACAACAACAACAACGACAACACCACCAACAACAACAACAACAACAACAACACCAACACATCAACAACAATAATCATTTTAACACTGTTCGCCCTTATATGCTTATCCGAGGCGACAGGCGGCGGGGAGGGGGCGCAGCAGGAAAAAGAAGGAGTGTGAGTCTCACCGAGCGCGCTCCGCTACTCGCAGAGTGCCTACTCGCAAACGTCCGAACACACACAGACATACATACATACATACATACATACATACATACATACATACATACATACATACATACATACATACATACATACATGCATACATACATACATACATACATACATACATATACACACACACACGTGTATGCCTCGATGTAAGGCATCGCAACTCCCCCATGGCAGGCCCAGGCCACTTTTGCGAGGTGTGACCTTTCGAGTGGTGGAGCGCGCTTGTCTAGAGTCTCAAGCCAGCAAGCTCGAGCGACCGCCACCTCCCACCCACCCTTCCATGACGTGCCGACACACAGCAGGAACGCAAGAAGAGGGTGGCTGCCGGCGCCGACCTGGGCGTGCAAGCTGCCCCTCGTGAGGCCACATGCGAGGGCCCGCGTCTCCGTGGTGGCGTGCCGCGCCGGTGGCCCGCGCCGGTCACCGAGTGAGGTCGCTACAGTCAAAGACCCTGATAAGGACGCGCGACTATGCTCAGGGTACCCTTGCGTCCTTGCTCTTCCTTGCTCTTGCGTCCTCGAGGTTTTCGTCGTCCGCCGCCCCAAAAATCCCAACTTCGGCTTCCAAGGGTCTTGCGTCCTTACCGCGCGTCCTTATTAGGGTTTTTGACTGTACGTCTTGGAGGGCCAAGCCTACCTGCTTCCTATCTGCTTCTAGATCAAAGTATGGGGCCGATGCCAGATACCGTTTTCACGTCCTAGCCAAAAGCGTCAATTGACACATTGGGCGTCGTGACGTCCATCGACACTCCCGGGGTGGATGCTTCTATGGACAACGTGGCCGTTGCGTTCGGCCCGGTGCCAGGCCGGAGAAAAGATGTATCTGTCTACTCGGGACTCAAGAGACGGGGGTCAATGCAAACGGGGGTCAGCCAGGGCACCGGATCCTGCAGGATCCTGCGAAGACCCCCTCTGGCTGACCCGGATAAGCGAGCCGTTCGTGGCCGCGAGGCGGCCGCGCCTATTGGCTGATCCGGGTTTGCGAAGACCAGCGTTGCAGTTTTTTTCCTGCATTGCAGTTTTTACCTAACAGCTTTTGCTGATAGGTTTCTAGTGGTCTCAAAAGAGAGCAGCAGATGACTCCACAGGGGCGTCGGGGCGGGACCCGGGGCGGTGCCGCCGAAGCCCAAATCGCCTTGGACATCCTCGCAAAATCGCTCTTGGCGCTGCTAGAACTCCATTCCCGGCGTACATGTTGGATGCCCGGAGCCAACTGTAGGCCACTTCGTGGTCTTCGAGTTCCCAGAACTCCATTCCTGGCGTACATTTTGGATGCCCGGAGCCAACCGTAGGCCACTTCGTGGTCTTCGAGTTCCCAGAACTCCATTCCCGGGACACATTTTGGATGCCCGGAGCCAATTGTAGGCCACTTCGTGCTCTTCGAGTTCCCAGAACTCCACTCCCGGGCCACATTTTGAATGCCCGGAGCCAACTGTAGGCCACTTCGTGTTCTTCCACTTCCCAGAACTCCACTCCTGGGCATGATTTTGAATGCCCGGAGCCAGCTGTAGGCCACTTCGTGTTCTTCTAGTTCCCAGAACTGCATTCCTGGGCAACACTTTGACTGCTGAGGCAGGCTGATGCTGCGGCCGAGGCAGGCTGAGGCTGAGGCAGGCTGAGGCCGAGGCCGAGGCTGAAGGCAGACTGAGGCTGAGGCTGAAGCAGACTGAGACTGAGGCTGAGGCAGGCTGAGGCTGAGGCTGAGGCTGAGGCAGGCTGATGCTGAGGCAGGCTGAGGCTGAGGCTGAGGCTGATGCAGGCTGAGGCTGAGGCAGGCTGAGGCTGAGGCCGAGGCTGAAGGCAGACTGAGGCTCAGGCTGAAGCAGGCCGAGGCTGAGGCTGAGGCAGGCTGAGGCTGAGGCAGGCTGAGGCTGAGGCTGAGGCAGGCTGAGGCTGAGGCTGTGACTGCGACTGCCGTTGCCACTGCGACTGTCATCGCGAATGCGACTACGACTGCGAGAACAGCAGAATTCTACAACTGGATTCTCATCTGAATCTTAAGGGGAAATCTTCCAGATATGCTCCTACACATCGCTGTTAGGTTGCTTTGCCGGGATAATTGGTTTCCTGCTGACCCGGGTCTGGATTGACCCGGGTCAGAAGATCCCCGACCTACGGTGAGTTTTTGTTCTAGAGCAAGTCCCACAGTATATCCCAAGTTATGCCATCCCGCGTGAGATCCATTTCTTTCCGTCGCTCCTATGGACATCGGGGCTGGCGTCCGCCCCCGTCCGGCGAATGGAAGGCGCTGGGACCCCATCTGGGAGCCCTGGAGGCCATCGAGAGCGGATCCGAAACGAGAAGCTGCCCCCCGAGGAAGGGGTCGGGGTCTCTGGAGACCCGCCAAGGTCGAGCCACCAGGCGTCCGGGAAGGGCTGTGGGAAGTGGGGCAGGGCAAGGGAGATGGGAGGGGGTAGGAGGGGAGGGGGGAGGGCTCGCCCGCGCGCGGCCCCGCATCGGACGGCGTGGCGAGAGGAACGTTGCACCGCGCACGAGCAGCAACGCAACTCGGGGGCGGCAAAGAGGGGGGTGATGACTAGGGGGGGGGTTAATATCATGGCGGGGGCCATGATAGTTCCCCAGATGTCATGGCGCCTCTTCTTATTTCATTACGTCCCTGGCCCCCCCGCTGGGCCGCGCACATGCCGCCGGTCATGATTTGCACCCCCCCCTCTTGGACACCCCCCTCTTGGCCGCTCCCGAGCAAAGCCCAAGGAGCACTCGGGCCCCGAGTCGAAAGCAGCATCATGATCGCCGTCGTGAGGCCCCGCTTCCGACGACGTGGCGAGGGAAAGACGAGCGCCGCGCCGAAGAGGGAGCACGACTTCCAGGGATGGCCTGCTCTGGGGTGGCAGCAGCGCTGCACACTTTCGCGTGAGGCCCAGCCCCCAGCGGGATTGGCGGGCAAAGAGCGTGCACCGCGGCAGGTGGAGACGGATGGAAGGAAGGGGATACAAATCTCGCCCAACAGTGCAGGGGGCCTCTCCAGAGTCAAATAAGTCCCCGTCGCATCATTCATTCTCTTCACCTCATCATGTAGCTTGTAGAGCATTTAGCAACGATGTGCGCGGCGCAGTTCCCGGATAGCTCTCTGAAGAGGGTTTGAGATTAAGAAGTTGGAGCCGTAGTGCAGCCCCAGAGGTCGTTCCGGCTTCCATTTTCCAGCGTCACAGCGACATGCTTGAAGCTCCAGCGTGTCCCGAGAAGCCTTTTCTAAGTGTTTCCCAATACGCTTGCCCGGAAGCTCTCCAGAAGGTCCTTCAGAAGCTCTCTGCAGGTCCTTCCAGAGTTCTTCGAAAGGCCGTTCCACGCCCTTCTTGCGCCCTGCTATCCGGGCTTTGGGCCCCACAAGTAGCGACAGCACGGGCTTCTCACCATTTGCGCCCGCCATCCGACAACCGTTGTTAGGCCCGGGTTTCTTTACCACGAGCTGCGAACGAGCTTCAAGCAAGAGCCCGAGCTCGAGGATGGGCCGCCCTGCATTCCTGCAGCCACTCGAAGACCCCAGCTGCTGGCCCCTACTTCTCCCGTTCCTCTCCCGCCACCGCCTTGGCCCAAGCGGACGGGCACCCCGCCGTCCAGGTGCTGCTGACCATGGAGCCCACCCAAGCAGCGGCGGGCCTGGCCGGGGCGCCGCCGCTGGGCGCACCGGCGTCGGAGTTCTACCACGCCATGGCCGACGAGCTCACCGACCTGGCGAGGCGCACGGCGGAACTCACCTGGACCTGCGACGCCAAGGCGGGCGGCCAGCGGTCGCACGGCGCGCGCGCGACCGTGGCGCCAACTGGGCGCCTCCCGCCGAGGAAGGAGACGGCCAGCGCAGCGGTCAGCGCCGCGGCGGCCCCGGGCGGCAGCGCGCTGCACCTCCCGCCGCAGAGCAGTGGGCTGCCTCGGCAGGGCGGGGCGCTGCCCGGCGCTGCTCGGAGGCCGTCGCCGCGGCCCCTCCCCGCCGAGCTCTCGACGAAGAAGCCGGCGCACCTGGAAGGCGCCCGGCTGCAGGCGCCCGCTGGGCCGCGCGCGGCTGCTCGCCGCCACGGGCCGCAGCCGGGCCAGGGCGGCGTCCTGCGGCAGCCTCGGCCGCGGCAGCTTCGGCTCGGGGCTCCTGGAGCTCCCCGCGCGTACCGGGCGGCTCAGCGCCCACGCGGTGGCGCTTGGCAGCACGAGGGGGCGCCTCCAGCAGAGGCTTGCCCCCCCGGCCCTGCTGAGGAGCAGCCCGGGCCCAACCAGCCGAGCTTCCGCAGTGTGCCCGCCACCCCTGGCGCCGGCACGCCGTCTGCGCGCAGCGATGCGACCGTGCGCTCCAAGACATGCAGCTCGGTGCCCAGTGCGCGCCGCGGCGCCTCATCGCCTGCAGCGCGGAGCGGTGGCCGCCTCTTGAGCGGCGCCCTCCTGGCGTCTCGCACCGGCACGCCGCGGGCTGCAACCTGGGAGTCGCTGGCCCAGGGCAGTGCGGCCTTGGCGCCCTCCCCAGCCGGCCACCGGACGGCGCGCACGGTGGAGGCAGAGGTCAGCCCGTGCAGCGCGGCAGCGCCAGTGCAGATCGAGGCTGAGGCGGTGGAGCCACAGAGGGCCCTGCTGGAGGCGGTGGTCGACCTGCAGCTCGTCGTCCCAGGGTCGCTGCCAGCGCCAGCCCCCGCCGCACCCGTCGCGGTGGGGCCGCTGACAGGCCCGTGCCTCGCCAGCGAATCGGCGCTGCGGGCCCCTCCGAGCCGTCCGATGCTGCGAGGCCTCATCGCGGACGTCATTGATGAAATGACAGCTTTCTCCTGCCGACCCCCAGCGGAGGTTGTTGGCGGTGTTGAGATTACGCCAGGCATTTCAACAGGTGGGCCAACTCGCAGGCCAGAGAGGCGCAGCTCGTTGGACGAGGATGCCTCGGGGCGGCCGGTGGTCCGCCCTCCCCCGCCCTACGATGCTGATATCCCTGGCCTGCCACCACCATACGACGACGAGCGCTTGGCCGCGCACCGCAGCACTCCTATTGCGACGTCGCAGTGGGTGCTGTCGCAGCCGTCGCTCGTCCAGCAGAAGGTGTCAACACGTGAGGCGCAGCTACAGACATCCCAGCTGGAAATGTCAACCCGCGAGGCGCAGCTACAGACATCCCAGCTGGAAATGTCAACCCGTGAGGCGCAGCTACAGACATCCCAGCTGGAAGTGTCAACCCGTGAGGCGCAGCTACAGACATCACAGCTGGAAGTGCCCTTGACCGAGGCGCAGGTTCAGACCTCCCAGCTGGACGCGTCCTCGACACATGCGCTCACTGGCAGGGTCGGCAGCGCCACGGGGGATCAGGGCGAGGGCAGCGAAAAGGAACGGCCGGTCGAGGCAGCCCTGCGGCAGCATGCCGAGGCGGTGCACCAGCAGCTCGCGGCAGCGGCGCAGCACACCGCCTCGCTGCAGACGAGCGTGGCGACCCTGCAGGCCCAGCTGGCAGACCTCGCACTGCGAGGATCACGTGCTGAGGCGGCTGCCGTGGCTGAGGGCCCGCCGCCAGCGGCAGCCATGTTGGAGGGCGTTAGGCGACTGGAGCTGCAGATGGTGCAGATGATGGAGAGGCAGGGCTCCGAGCTGCGGCAGCTGCTCGTCCAGAGTGGCGAGCGCGCTGCGGCGGCCACTGCGGCCGCGGCGGCCGCGGCGCCGGCAGCTGGTGGGTCTGCGCCAACCGTGCATGTACTGCCAATACTGCATGTTCAGGCCCCGCCGCAGCCTCCGCCCGCTCCGCCTGACCCACCAGCGCAGATGGCGCCGGCGGTCCCCACGTTGCCGGCTGCCCAGTACGAGGTGCGGAGGAGCCTCGCGGCGGGGACTCAGACAAGCATTATCGAAGAGAGCGTTTGGCCCGAGGGGAGCGCTAGGCCAGACAGCCTGCTGGACGCGAAGGTGTCTAGATTCACAGAGTATTTGCTCCATGGCGCCCCAGGCCGCCCACACCGTACAGACGGCTCGTTCGAGACGCCCGTTTCTGGGATGCCCCAGCCTGGGACCACGGCCGACATGCTGCTCAGAATGCTCCGACCTGTGGCCACGTCGGCTGCCCGCTCGACCCCTTCGTTGCCGCATGCGTTCACATCGACAGAGGCCTCGGCTTCCCTGGGCGAGGTCTCTGGCTCCTCTTGGGAGGCGACCTCTGGCGAGGTGCCCTCGGAAGGATCCGTCTCTCAGTCGGCCTCGCTGGGGCAGGCCGCATCCCTCGCGGCCTCCTCCCTCGGCGAGATCGCGGGCGCGGCCTCCTCCCTCGGCGAGGTCGCGGGCGCGGCCTCCTCGCTCGGCGAGGTCGCGGGCGCGGCCTCCTCGCTCGACGAGGTCCCGGGCGCGGCCTCCTCGCTCGGCGAGGTCCTGGGCGCGGCCTCCTCGCCCGGGGAGGCCTCCGACTCCGCGGCGCGGCCGGGCCGCGGCTGGTGGCCGACGCCGCCGGGCTCGGAGCCCGGCAGCGAGAGCGGGGAGGTCTCCGCCGCCCCGCCCGGCGGCGCGCCCCGCGGCGCCGCGCCGCGCGCCGAGCCCCGCGCCGCGCCGCGCCTGCCGCCGCGCCGGTGGTCTCTCGGGGAGGCCGCGGGCGCGGAGGCCTCGGGGAGGTCCCCCGGGGGGTGGTCCCTCGGAGAGCTCGCCGCGGGGGCCACGCCGTGCCCCTCCGAGGGGGAGGCGCCGACGGCCAGCGAGGGCGAGGTGCCGCGCGGCGGCATCCGCGGCGGCGCGGCGTGCAGCGAGGGCGAGGCGCCGCGCGGCAGCGCCCGCGGCAGCGCGGCGCGCAGCGAGGGCGAGGCTGGGCTCAGCGGCACGGAGGAGGGCGCCCCCGCCAGCGCCGAGGCCGGCGGCGCGCCCGGGGGGGTGCCCTGCGCGGCCGGGTGGCCTCGGGTGCGCGGCGTTCGGTTGGCGCGGGGGGCCCCCCCTGAGTGCCTGCGAGCAGTGACAAGGATCATGACGGGAGGCTTTTGGTGTCATTTTCGGCATCTGGGGGCCCTCGCCGGGCCTCGGGACCGTCAGAAAACGACTGAGGATGAGAAACCGGTCCCGGGGAATGGGTGCAGACCTCTGGGGGTCGACGTTCTGCAAAAATCATGGCGTCGGGGGTCTGGGTACACAGCGGGCGTTTTTGTTCGCCCGGTGTCGGGCCCCGTGGGACCCTCGCAGGTCGATCCGGCTCGACGAGTTGACGCAGACAGGTGGGGCCTGGCTGGGGTGATGAGCCCAGTTTCCACCACCGCTACCATATGTAGGAGAGGGAGGAGGAGAAGGAGGAGGAGAAGGAGGAGGAGGAGGAGGAGGAGGAGGAGGAGGAGGAGGAGAACCTCCTCATCCTCCCTTCTCCCCCGACCTACATATGGTAGCGGTGGTGGACAACTTGCCCATTATGGGGCTCCGGTCGTGATTTTGCGCGACGTGGCAGTGTTTCTTTTTGATCGCGTCAGAGCCCAGGGGAGCCAGAACCCGGTGCACCTTACCGCGTCGGCCTCGCGAGGCAATCCTCGACCCAGGGATGGTACGGTGCACAGATTGGCGGCCCTCAGAGCCGAACAACCGCACACCGTACACCAAGTTGGAGCGGGGCATGGAGGGAGTCGAAGCATGGTACGGTGCCCAGGCGCCGTTTTCGTATATCAGGTCACTCTTGCGTGTAGCCCACGAGTCGACTACACGTACCCATCGGTTGTTGAAAGTATGTATTATTGGAGTCCCGGATCCCAATCTACTTTGGGTGCCTTCCTACTTCAAGGATCGAGTAGCTTCACCTTTTCTGTCCTCCTCTTTCGGGGGCGGGCGGAAGCCCAATCTACTTTCAACACCTTCCTACTTCATGTTTCTACGTACTTCTTCCGACCGGTGGGAAGCCCACGAGTCGACTACACGTACGAAGAGTGGCCTTTCGCCGACGCGACCTCGTGCTGGCCCCCCCGAGGCTCCCTCGATCTAGGAACGCGAGGCGACAGCAGTGGGTGGCGCCCCAGGGTGTGGCCTCCCCCCCCCTGCGCCCCCCATTCGGCCGCGAACCAAAGGTCAGTCTTGCCTACGTAGGATTAAGTCCGGCATGTCCCTCTACAGGAGGAATGCTCAACAATAGTTTGGACATGATATGGGGACGATGTTTCGATTCTGTTTGCCTACCTTTGGACATTTTACGGCTATCTTTCAATCCCCCTCTATGAGGACATGCCCGACCTAAACGCAGGGTCACCAAACCGCAGACCCCCGACGTTATGATTTTCCAGGATGTCGACCCCCAGATGTCTCGACCGATTCCCCAGGACCAGTTTTTCATCCTGCGTCGTGTTTGATCGTCCCCGGGCCTGGCGAGGGCCCCATCAGGTCGAACGTAGCGAAAGGCATCCCGTCTTGATTTTTCCGTAGTCCGAGGGGGTCTCGGACTCTTGCCGTAGGCCCATTTTGGCGCGCAGCCGAACGATCGGGGGTTGTCACAAGTGCCCTTGGCCGAAGGTGTTCCCAGCTTTTTGCGCCATTTTGGAGCCCCCACGGGGCCCTCTGGGCCTCGTGAGGGGTGCTCTGGAGGCCGTGGGGGCCTCTCTGGAAATCCTGGGGGCACCTTGGGCCAGGGGCACTTGTGGCAACCCCCGTCTCGAGGCTCCCGGGAGGAGGAGGTGGAGGAGGAGGAGGAGGAGGAGGAAGGAGGAGAGGAGGAGGAGGAGGAAGGAGGAGGAGGAGGAGGAATGGAGGGGAGGAGGAGGAGGAGGAGGAGGAGTGAGGAGGGAGGAGGAGGGAGGAGGGAGGAGGGAGGGAGGGGGAGGAGGGAGGAGGAGGGAGGAGGGAGGAGGGAGGAGGGAGGAGGGAGGACAGGGGGAGGAGGGAGGAGGGAGGAGGGAGGAGGGAGGAGGGAGGAGGGAGGAGGGAGGAGGAGGAGGAAGGAGGAGGAGGAGGAGGAGGAGGAGGAGGAGGAGGAGGAGGAGGAGGAGGAGGAGGCGGAGGAGGAGGAGGAGGAGGATGGAGGAGGAGGAGGAGGAGGAGGAGGAGGACTTCTGGCGGCTCCCGGCGCGAGGGGCTGGGCCTGGACAGCGGCGGCCCCTGGGAGGGCACCCCGCGGCGGCGCGCGCGCGCCCCGCCGCCGTGCGGCCACGGTGCCGCGGCGGCGGGCAGCGCGCGCGGCGGCGGCGGGCGGCACGCGCCGGAGGGGCGCCTCAGCAGCCCGGGGGAGACGTCGGAGCTGCCCTCGCCAGGGGCCACGTCGTCGGGCACGTAGGTCGTCGGTGCGATCGGAACGGGTGCAGGAAGAGGTCTCTCTAATGGAGGATGACGGTTAATAAATGACCGGGGGTCGTGTTCACGCGGCGGCGCCCAAGATGACGATTCGAAAAAAACGGCCGCGGGCTGGAAACTATTGTTTAATCATTCTCCTCCAGTCAGAAAATTCTGCAGAAATGGCAGAACACTATTTTTTAATCGTTCTCTCTTTCTTTTAATCGTCATCCCGCATTACTACTCACAAGGTGCCTCCTCGCAAGCGTCCGAGGGAAAACACACATGTGTCTTCGTCGACGCAGTGTATCGTATGTCCCCCGCCGGCGGATCCAGGCCATCTGCCAGGAATCACTTTGCGAGTGGTGAAACGCGTTCGCCCAGGGAAGAGTCTGGATGACCCAGGAGGGGGTCCAGCGAAGAGAGGGGGCTGCAACAGATCTGGTGCCATCGACATGTGCGGGGGCAGTAGTCTTGGGGCGTGCCAAACATTCAGGTGCGTAAGTATATTGTTGGCTTTCCGCGTGCAAGACATGAGTTTCAACACAAGCAATACCACTATCTGGCGCAAGACGTAAGATTGACCTTGCGCCGGAGTGACCTTTGGTGCGGGCACAGATGGGGTCCCCAGATGGCTCAAAGAGAAGTGGTGGGAATGATTTGCGCGCTTGTGTTTGGCCTCCCCGCGGCCCCAAAAAGCCGTGCACCAAAGGTCACCCTTACCCAGGGGCACTCTTGCGTGTAGCCGAATGGGTACGAAGACAGACAGCAATTCTTGTTCATCTTGATCAGGCTCCCTGGAGAGCTGCGAAGTGTGGGCTCCTGGGAGGTCTCGCGAAGTGGATTGGTACGGGGACCCAGTTGGGATCTCGCGGCTCCGTTGGGCGCTGCGAAGTGTGGATTTGTCGCCATTTTCGTGGGCTCCTGGGAGGCCGGGCGGAGTGGAGTGGTACGAGGACCCAGATGGGACTTCGCGGCTCCCCGGGGGGCTGCGAACCGTGAAATTGTCGCCCTTCTCGTGGGCGTTTGGGAGGTCGCGCGGAGTGGAGTGGTACGGAGACCCAGTTGAAACCTCGCGGCTCCCTGGGGGGCTTCGGAGTGTGAATCAGTCGCCACTCTCGTGGGCTCCAGGGAGGTCGCGCGGAGTGGAGTGGTAAGGGGACCCAGATGGAATCTTGCGGCTCCCTGGGGGCTGCGATGTGTGGATTTGTCGCCCCCGTCGGGTGCTCGTGGGAGGTCGCGTGGAGTGCAGTGGTACTGGGACCCAGTCGGGACATCGCGGCTCCCTGGGGGCTACGAAGTGTGAAATTGTCGCCCTTTTCTTAGGCGATTGGGAGGTCGCGCGGAGTGGAGTGGTACGGAGACCCAGTTGCAACCTCGCGGCTCCCTGGGGGCTGCGAAGTGTGAAGCTGTCGCAACTTTCGTGGGCTCCTGGGAGGTCGCGCGGAGTGGAGTGGTACGGGGACCAGATGGGACCTCCGCGGCTCCCTGGGGTTCTGCGAACTATGAAGCCGTCGCCAATTCCGTGGGCTGTTGGGAGGTCGCGCGGAGTGGAGTGGTACGGGGGCCCAGTTCAGACATCGCGGCTCCCCGGGGGGGGCTGCGAAGTGTGAATCAGTCGACGCTCCCGTGGGCTCCAGGGAGGTCCAGCGGAGTGTTGCTTTTGTGTTGCTCTGGGAGCTCATGCGCACTGCGAGTTCTTGAACATGTTTGTTCGCAGTGAGCGGTCCAGAATAGATCCGCCACAGGTTTCGAAAGGGTCGGGCACGCCATCGGGGAATGGTTGACCAGGGTCTGCCACCAGTGCCGCCGCGGGCCCCTGAGCATTCGAGGCAGAATGTCTCCTCCTGTTCCTGCTCCTCCTCCTCCTCCTCCTCCTCCTCCTCCTCCTCCCTCCTCCTCCTCCTCCTCCTCCTCCTCCTCCTCCTCCTCCTCCTCCTCCTCTCATTCCTCCTCCTCCTCCCTCCTCCTCCTCGTCCTCCTCCTCCTCCTCCTCCTCCTCCTCCTCCTCCTCCTCCGCGGCCGCTGTCGGTTTTGCACAGCATCTGCTGCTGGGCAGCGTGCCCTCTCTCCCGCACCCCTTCCGGGCGCAGACAGGTCGCGCGCGGCGATCGGGCGCTGCGCAGTTCGGCTGCTCGTAAGGGTGACCCTTCGCCGGAGCGACCCTTGGCCTGGGCCCACCGGGGCCCCCTGATCGCCGAATGCGCGGTGCGACAGCAGCGGCCTGCGCGCTCGGGTCGGGATCTCTCGCGCCGCCCCCCCCCCCAACAAAAAAAAAAAACAGCGCACCAAGAGGACACTCCTGCCTAGGGTCGCTCACGCTCGGCGACGAGCGAGGGGGGGGGAAGTGAGAAGGGGCGGGCCTCCCCAGAGGGCTCGGGAGTCCCTGGCCTCCCGGGAAGTGTTTGAAGCATGCCCCGAGGACGCAGACACGCGTTTCGGCAGCCGCGAGGGCTCCCGAGGAGTCCCGCCGCCCTCCGAGCAGGCCTTCTCCTCCCCGCTTCCCCTGCTCGCTCGCCGCCGACAAAAAGCCTCGCACCGAGAGGCCACTCTTGCCCAGGGCCACTCCTTGCGCGCACCTGAGTAGGGCGGCGCTGTGTGAAGGGGGGGGTTGACGAAGGGGGGGGGGGGGGGGCGAGGCGAGTTGCACCTCTTGTGCCCAAAGAGGGGCCCCAATTGGCAACGAAGGGGACGCGTTTTTCTCCGCCCCCCCTCCCCCATACCCCCTCCACCCTCCTCCCAGGGGGCGGTCCTCTCCCCTCTCTTTTCTCACCCTCCCTCCCATGGTTCTCTCCTTCCTCCCCCTCGGCCTGCCCCCACTCCCCCCCCTCCCTAGGTCGTCCCCGTCGTCGTCGCCGGCGGCCTCCGCCGCACCCCTCCGCGGCGGCCAGCGGCTGTGCGCCCCAGAGGGGCCCCAAATGGCCACGAAAGGGACACGTGTCTCCGCCCCCCCCCCTATTCATCGGTCGTTGAAAGTAAGCCTGTCTGGATCCCCAGTTTCCAAACGACTTCAGGCGCCTTCCTATTTCAAGAGTCGAACGGTTGTCCCTCTTCCCTCCTCTTCAGGGGGCGGGCGGAAGCCCAATCTACTTTCAATGCCTTCTTACTTCATGGTTCTACTTACTTCTTCCGACCGATGGGTGTTCATCGCCCCCCCCTTCAGCAACGCCCCGCGCGAACGTGCCCGTATCCGCGCCCTCGCGGCCCGGATGTTGGGGCGCGATCCCGCAGAAGCTTGGCCGAACGGATACCGTCCGCCTGGGGCATGGGGGCATCCGCGAGCAAACACGAACGCCTATCCGTGGGGTCGCGGCCCAGGGGAGCCGGCCCGCGAGGCCGCGGGTATGGACGTGTTGTCCGCCCACGAGCAGGCGCTCTACTGGGGCCAGGGCGGCCAGCAGGACCCCGAGGCCCTGTCGCTGCAGTTCTCGCACCGCGGGCGCTCCCGCCCGGTGTCGGGCCCGGGCCCGGGACCGTCGCAGATCGAGCCTGCTCGAGAAAATGCGCAGGACGATGGGGTGCAGAGCTCTTGCCGTGATTCCCCACGAGGGTGCAAACCTCTCTTGCAGCGGCAGGGTCTCAGGGATGAGCGTCGCCCTGGCCGTGCCGTCGGGGAGTCGGCGCGGAGCGGGGGCTCCACGAGCCGAGAGGCGTGCAGAGCGCCAGCTGTGCCGGGCAGATGCCCCTCCTCGTCCTCTGTCACCTCCCTCCTCCCCGTCCTCCGCCACTTTCGGGCTGGGCGAACGGGGGGGATTGGGCAAGGGGGGGTTACGAAATTTGCTGCATGCAGCTGGTTTCGGCCTCACCGAGGGGCCCATTCCTCGATACATAGCCGCCTCCGGCGCCGGTGGGCGCTGGAAAAATCAGCTACGTGAGCTGCTTCTCAAACCCCCCCTTTGCTATCCTCCCTTTTCGCCCAACCCGACACTTCCGAGCTTCGCCTGCCCATCCCTTCTCCCTCCCCACCTCCCCGCCACCCTTCATCCTCACCTCGGAGGAGCAACAAAAAGCCACGACGATGCTGCGCGCCATGATTTTTGTCCAGGTCTCCCGCGGTCGGGCTCGGCCAAGGACGAGTGTGGCCGAGCCCGCGTGGCCGAAGGCCGCTAACCAGGACCCCCCCAGAGATCCCCACATTCTTCCTGCGCCACTCGTCTCATGACATGTTTCTTGTCCTACTGCCTCCCGTTTCATCTCTTACGCCCAGACATCCGGCGCCTTGAGCTCTTCAAGACGGGGCCCCCTCCTCCTCCTCCCTCCCTCCCTCTTCCCCTCGAATACAGTCTGGGGGACAGTGGTGTTGGTGGCTCGTGTGGCGTCCTCCGAACGATTGGCGAGGCGTTGTCCTGCTGTGGCCCCATGTGGGCTCCCAGAGTCGTGGTACAGTGTGGACCCATGCCAAGAAACACCTTGCTTGCCTGCAGGGTGCCCTGGGTTTCTTGGGTTCCCATTGTTTTGCTATGGAAAGCGCGGCCACCAAAAATCAATGGACGTCCTGGGGTCTCAGGGTTGGGTCTCTTGTGGGAGATTTCTTGTGGACTGGCCTCCGCTGTAGCTCGAGGTGTTCAAGATGCTGAGGTGCGGACCAGTTTGTGCGCAGGAGAGGCTCTGGTTTTCGGGCCGTTCCCTGGGTCTAGGTCGGGGAGCCTTTTCAAGGCCGAGCCTCGCCGTGGCTAGAAACGCTCCTTCGTTCCTTGATCAGCGCTCCCCACGGTGTCACGGTGACCGTGCCTCGCTGCACACGACTTGGGCCACCCTTGCCTGGTTTTGCGAGGCCTGTCGGCGCCGACGATGGCACCATGCGCCAGACAGCGATGGCACTTCCTCGTCGCCGTCCGTGGCCCAGGCTACTTGTGGCGCTTCTGCTGCGCGTGGCAGCAGGACTCCTGAGACCCTCAGCGCCGCGGGTTGGGCCGTTGGCGGTGCTGCTCGTGCGGGGCGCTCCCGCAGCCCAGGCTCCACGGTACACGGGGACGTTCGGTTCGACAGCCACTGCGTTGGATCCAGGTGGTTGTCTCTCGATGGTGGTGAGCTTGGCGGGGCGGGTCGCCGGCGATCTTCCTCAGAAGATCTGGCGCACTCTGCAGGGGTGCTTCACTGCCTCCACAGTCCAGCGAGCACACCTGCAACCCACGGTCAACAGCACAACCAGCGGCGTGACGCCAAATGGCTGATTCCAGGCCCTGGGCCCGAGCGTGTTGACGTAGTACACTTGCATCCGCCGGCTTTCCGCCGGTTTCTGCCGCCAGCAGGCCCGCCGCAGTTTTCTGCGCTTCTGCCGCCTTTCCGCCCGCTGCTCGCCGGGGATGGGACCTGCCGAAGGCGATGCCCTTTCTCCTTTCTGGAATGCCCCAGATCTTCCGTACAGGGCGCGTATCTGCGCACGCCGCTACCGACCCGACTCGACCAGTGTCTAGGCCGATCCGAGCTCTTCGACTCGATAGACACGGTGGGTTCGCGCCGTGTCGACTGGCGACGACCCCACCGCCGGCGTGCAACGTTGGGACGACACCGGTGCCCCAGGATCGGTCGATGTTGAACGATGTGACCGGTCGTTCAAGGTTGAACGATCTCCGCGGTGTCAGGAGCCAACGCTGGGGTGGACACGACACGAACCCGCAGTGTCTGCGCACGCCGCTACCGACCTGACCCGACCAGTGTCCCGTTCGATCCGAGCGCTCCGATTCGATATCGATTCGATATCGATCGTTACACCAACATTCCAACGACCCGCTGCGGCCCGATGCTTGCATGGCGCTGTTGTGCGCTGTGTCTACTGGCGCAGCCCATCCGATTCGGGCTCGACTCCGTGCTGTTGTAGGCCGAGTCCGAAGCAAATTCCGATACCTGCCGAGTCGATGCCGACTGATATTTGTCCGACCCGAAGCGTTGGGGGAGGGCTTGACGAGTAAACCAAGTCGTTCCGTCGGCCACGGAGCTCGGTGTATGGACGCCCCAGATTCACAAGCTGCGGGACGCTGGAGAGTCCATGCACCGAACTCCTTCGCCGAATTCCTTGGCTCCTTGACCGGCCCAGCGACGTTGTGTGTACGTCTAGCTTCTCCGAACATATCCCATGAAGACGCTGCAGCTCTTGCCCAATCCGACACCATGCAAACTCGGACCGGATGCTAATATTGGACCCTGAGGGATGGGGCCCCGACCCCATTTATTCGGACCCCATTTGGTAGGCCTCCAGATATGACGCTTCCTTCCTCCTCGCCTACCCTGGCTCGAAGACGACGGACGACGATTGACGACGAATGAGTTAAAGAGGACAAGCGACGACGATGACGACGATGACGACGGACGACGACGACGTCACAGGACAAACGGCGAACGACGATGAACGACGAACGACCACGACGACCGACGACGAACGAACGAACGACGATGAAGACGACGAAGGATGCCGACAACGACGACGATGATGACGACGACGACGACGACGGCGGCGACGGCGACGGCGACGGCGACGGCGACGGTGACGGCGACGGCGGCGACGGCGACGGCGACGGCGGCGGCGGCGACGGCGGCGACGGCGGCGGCCACGGCGGCTGCCACTGCCGTGAGAGAGAGAGCGCCCGCTCGACGGGAGGCGGGCGCCCGCGAGGGGCGCGGGCCCCAGGCGCCCGCCCGGGGCTGGCGGGCCGCGCTGCAGGCCGGCCCGCGCCTCGCGCGCGCCGCCTTGGCCTTATGTCGGGCGTGTCCCCCGACCCTACAGGGGGATTTTCGATGAAAAAGGATAAATACCCAAAACATCTACCAAAAAGGCAAAAAAGAACGAGAAAAATAGTCCCCAGACTATTTTTGTATTATTTTTTGATTATTTTGGGGGGTATTTTTACTTTTCGTCGAACATCCCCCTGTAGGGAGACAGGCCCGACTTCACCCTGGCCGCCTGCGTCGCTGGCGGGCGCATTTCGGACTCTCGGGGGAGGGAAAGGTGCCCATACCGCTACGTTTCTCCGACACCCGAACTTCGTAGTTCGTATCTCCTGGGAGGCCCCTTCGTCGCCACCGCTGGCTAGATTCGCCTCGAGATGCTGGTCAGAACGCACCCCCCGGGAGAGGTCCCGGGGAGGCGCCGTGGATCGGTACCGTTTCTAGTTTCCCCATACATTCGGGGCCGGGACCATGTCCACTGGACTATGTCATGTTTGTCGGCCACGCGCAGAGGGGGTAGGGGGAGGAGGGAAGGCTTCTTAGAAGCACCCCTGCTTCTTAGAAGGCGCGGGCCTTCTCTATACATGTAGGGCCGACGCCTCCTAAGAAGCAGCCCCCTTCTACTAAGAAGACTTCCCCCCTACCCCTACCCCCCTCTGCGCGCCGCGAAGTTTGTCAACCACTCAGTGGCGACAGGCGTTCCAAACACAGTGCGTATACCCGGGGGGGGCCAGATGGTGCCCCTGGCCCAAGCTGCCCCCAGCTTTTCGTTCCATTTTGGAGTCCCCCCTGGGGCCCTCTCGAGTCCAGCGGGGGCTTCTTGGCAGTCCTTGAGGCCTCGTGAGGGGCGGTCTGGTCTGGAGGTCGCGGGGGCCTCCTTGGGAGTCCTGGGGGCACCTTGGGCCAGGGTCACTGTTAGCAACATCCGAAAGTATTTTTTTCCAGCACCTGTCGCCTGGAGGAGAACCGGCCAGAAAATTATACACGACACGTTGTCCTGTGGCCTTTCTGTAAAGTCCCATGCATGGGACAACGCCCAGATACCTCAGTTCAGGGACCCGCGGTTCCCATCCACCCCCAGAACCACAACATGCCCAAGACCACCCCCAAACGGCCGGTCGGAACCCCAAGATGGCCCAGTATACCTCCAAACCTCACCGATCGTGAGGCGTTTTAGTCAGTTCATGTTACGTTCTTCAGTGGCAACAATTTATGTAACCGCTGGCTCGCGGACCGTGCCCCTGGGCCGCGACCCAGCTGATACGGTTTGTTTTTTCCATGGGTAATTCGCGCGGAACGTATCCGGGCGACCGCGTTTCCGCGGGATCGCGCCCCGGAATCCAGACCGCGAGGGCGCGGATACTGACATGTTCGCTGCTCGTGAGTCGCAGGAGGACGGGCTCATGGGGGAGCGGGTTCGAGCCTGAGGGTTTCGGGCGTCCTCATCGGATTCGCGGCGGCTGTCCGGCCGCCGGATGCTCTCCGGCAGCTGCGCCTCGCCGAGAGCGTTCCAGGGATACCCGGATCGTTCCGAACGCCCGCCGTGGAGCCGAGGTATGGACCGACAGTCAGGGAGCAGCGTCGGTGTGGGATGGGCTCATGGGGAGGGACACATCGGCCACTAATCGGCCATTTGTCGCCGATTGGGGCCTGATGTTCCACCCGGCGATCGCGATCGCCGATCCATCGGCGATGTGTCGCTGTATCGCCAATTCCAGATCGAGGCCCCCCCTCTGATCCAGTCCCCCTGCAACGTTTCCTTTCAGAGGAGGATCGGGTCGCACTTGTGGGACAGGGGGGCCTTTCGGGCACTGGCCGCATCGTGGGCCTTCTGTTCCGGCTCGGATGTGGCTCTTTGGCGATTCGGAGCTGCCCAGTGCATCCCAGGCAGGCGTGCGGGGATGGGCGGAAAGCGGAGTTGGGCAAGGGGGCGAGGAGAATCGGGCTTCAGAGCGTGAATTACCTACCCCGCTTTCGCTTCCAGGCAAAACCAAGTCATACCACGCGCCTCCTCGTCAAGCGGCCTGACCAGTACAGGCCGTAGTTTGGCATCGGTTGGTACCTCTTGGAAGCGAGGGTGGCCAAAAGCGAGGAGGTTTGCTTGCCCCCTAGGGTTGGAGGATCGGCTCGGAGTTCGAGGTTTTCGGATGCCGTCGTCCGTCCCGTGGATTTTCCAGCCTCAGGATGCGTTCCAGCAGCTGCGCCTCGCCGATGGCGTTGGGGGGGGGGATATGCCCCGATCGCTCCGAGCGGCGGCCGGAGACCCGCGGCATGGCCCCTCGTTCTTCCTGCCGCGCAGAAGTCAGGAGGGAAAGAAACACACAGACACAATGAATCGTCGACTCCCAGAAAATATGGGAAAATATGGAAAGTGGGGGGGAAGACGAAACCCAGAAAATATGGAAAATATGGGGAATCTTTTTATTTGTGTGTATTTATTTGTGTGTCCCAGGGCCCCTTCAAGAAGGCCGAGGTGCCCGCTCGAAGCAAGGCGTGCCCCATGGCAGGGCTGTGATGCCCACTTGCACTTCAGCGGGTCCATGTCGGTTCGGTTCGGGCAGAGGCGAAGCGTCCTGGCTTGCCTATAGGCCCACCGAAGAGTGCTCTGAGAGCCTTTCGTGCCCTGCGCGAAATGCTCGTGGCACATTTCTGGCCGAGTTTGCTTTGTTTTAACACGCCGGGCCGATGTTCTAAAAACATTGTGATCGTTCTTCGAGCATCTTCGGGTTCTGAGAACATGTCGTGCTAGGCCTATAGGGATGCCGGGACGGTCTGTCCCTGCTCGATCGATCGATCTCGGCCAGTGTGGTCAGGTCCGATTCCGACATTCCGACGACCCGAGGCGGCCTGATATTCGCACGGCGTTGTTGTGTTTGCTTGCGCGGCCGATCCCGTTCAAGGCTGGCTCCCGGCCGATGCAGCCAGCTCCGATGACGCACGTTCCGAGTCGCTCCGATTTCCCGAGTCTGTGCTGATTGATCCGTCACTTGTCACACCCACTGCTCACGCAAGCGTTCTTCAGGCCCGTGTGCACGCACCTGTGAATCTGTCCACCCCCATGCGTCCATGGGAGGGAGGAGGGAGAAGCCATGACCCTCGCCGCACCTCTGGTCTCACTCTGCAGCGACTCCTCCCGAGGGTGATGGCGACCACGTACGTTTAAGTCGGGCAAGTCCCTCCACAGGAGGAATCGATTCAAGAATAGTGCTCTGCAGTCTTGTGGCGATATCTCGTGCTCTTCTAACTCTGTTTGAGTATTGCTTGACTCTTTATCATTTGTCTTCCAAGATCCTTCTGTAGGAGGACATGCCCGACATAAACGTACGCCGACGTCGTCACGCCGTCTACGACGGTGACGCCGTGACGCCGCCCACGGCGACGGCGACGCCCAGGACGCGCAGAGGGGCCCAACGGTGTCCCGCGATGTGACGCCGTCGTCCATGGCGGCGGCGGCGACGACGACCACGACGACGACGTCCGCGACGGTGCCACGACGTTGCCGTCTTCCATGACCACGACGACGACGACGACAATTACGACGATGACAATTACGACGACAGGACGATTACGACGACGACGATTGCGACGGAGACGACGAAGACGACGACGACGATGATTACGACGACGACGACAAAATGACAATTACGACGACTACGACAATTACGACGACGACGACGGCGACGACACGACGTACGACGATTACGACGACGACAATAACGACGACGACGACGATTACGACGACGACCGCGACGACGACGTCGACGACGACACGACGACGATACGACGATTACGACGACGACGATTACGACGACGACGACGACGATTACGACGATTACGACGACGACGATTACGACGACGACGGCGACAACGACGACGACGAAGACGATACGACAATTACAACAGCGACTTTGACGATTACGACGACGACGATTACAACGACGACGACGACACGACGACGACGACGATTACGACGACGATTACGACGACGATACGACGACGACGAGTACGACGACGACGTCGTCGACGACGACGACGATTACGACGACGTCGACGATTACGACGGTTATGACGACGACGATTACGACGATTACGACGACGACGATTACGACGACGATTTACGATTACGACGACGGCGACGATTACTACGACGACGACGATTACGAAGACGACGACGACGATTACGACGACGACGATTCCGACGACACGACGACGACGATACGACGACGACGGTTGCGACGACGATGACAATTGCGACGACAATTACGACGACAACGATTACGACGACGACATCGTCGACGACAACGACGATTACGACGACTATTACGACGTCGACGAAGACGACGAGGGCGAGGGCGACGACGACGATTACGACGACGACGACAATTACGACGACGACGAGTACGACGACGACGTCGTCGACGACGCCAGCGACGTCGACGGCGACGACGATTACGACGACGACGATTACCACGACGACGATTACCACGACGTTCACAACGATGACGACGATTACGATGAAAATGACGACTACGACGCCTACGCCGACGAATACGATTACGACGACGACGACGATTACGACGACGGCGACGATTACGGCGACGACGATTACGACGACGACGATTACGACGACGACGACGATTACGACGACGACGATTACGACGACGACGATTACGACGACCACGACGACGATTACGACGACGACGACGACGATTGCGATGATGACGACGACGACGACGGTTGCGACGACGACGATGACGACGACGATTACGACGACGACGACAACTATTACGACGGCGACGGCGTCGGCGACGACGATTGCGACGACGACGACGACGATTACGACGATAACGTCGACGACGATTACGACAACGACGACTATTACGACGACGACGATTACGACGACGATTACAACGACGACGACGACCACTACGACTGCGTCAACGATTATGAGGACGACGGCGAGTTACGACGACGACGATGACGACGACGACGATTACCACGACGACGACGACGACGATTCCGACGACGACGAGGAGTTCGACAACGACGATGATTACGACGACGACGACGATTATGACGACCACGACGACGATTACGATTCCGACGATGACGACGAAGAGTAAGACGACGACGACGATTACGACGACAACGTCGACGACGCCGACGACGATTACGACGACGACGACGATTACGACGACGGTTGCACGACGACGATAACGATCACGGCGACGACGACGGCGACGTAGATTGCGACAACGACGACGATTACGACTGCGACGACGATTACGACGACCACGACGATTACGGCGACGACGACGATTACGACGACGAACGCGACGATTACCACGACGACGACGACGGCGACGACGACGATTACGACGACGACGACGACGACTGTGACGACGACGACGACGGCGACGACGACGACGGCGACGACGACGTCGACGACGACGACGATTACGACGACGACGATCACGACAACGTTGACGACGACGATTACAACGATGACGATGATTACGACGACGGCAATTACGACGACGGCAATCCTCACGGAGACGACGACGATTACAACGACGATTACGATGACGACGACGACGATTACGACGACGATATCGATTACGACGACGACGACGACTACGACGATTTTGACGACGACGATTACGACGGCGACGACGACGACGATTATGACGCCGACGATGACGACGACGACCGTGACGACGACGACGGCGACGACGACGATTACGACGCCGACGACGATTACGTCGACGACGACGATCACGACGACGACGGTGGCGACGTAGATTGCGACGACGATGACGACCACGACCACGACGACGATTACGACGACGACAAATACGGGGACGACGACGATTACGACGACGAATGCGACGATTACGACGACGACGCCGACGACGACGATTACGACGACGACGACGACGACGACTGTGACGACGACGACGACGACGTCGACGGCGACGACGACGATCACGGCGACGTTGACGACGACGATTTCGACGATTACGACGACGACGACGACGATTACCACGACGCCGACGACGACGACGATTACGACGACGATCACGACGACGACGACTGCGACGACGACGACGATTACGACGACGACGATTACGACGACGACGATTACGACGACGATATCGATTACGACGAAGACGACTACGGCGATTTTGACGACGACGATTACGACGACGGCGACGACGACGACGATTACGAAACGACGACCGCGACGACGACGACGGCGACGACCTCGCGGCTCCGCGCGCGAAAGGCCTGCGAGAGTTCGGCGCTGGCCGCCGACCTGGGCGGCGCGGCGCCGGCCTCCAGGCGCGAGACGCGGCAGGGGGCTTGTTTTTTTTGGGGGGGATCCTCGCCCCGCTCGGCCACGGCACCTCCTCCTCCTCCTCCTCCTCCTCCTCCTCCTCCTCCTCCTCCTCCTCCTCCTCCCTCTCCTCCTCCTCCTTGGGCCCGGTGCGCCCGTAACGGGCACGGGAAGAGTGTGTGCGAGTGATGGGCCGAGTGTCCACCATCGCTACCACAGGTCGGAGAGGGAGGAGGAGGAGGAGGAGGAGGAGGAGGAGGAGGAGGACCTCCCCGTTCTCCCTTCTCCGCCACGGCCTACAAATAACATGGTCGTGGTGGTGGAAAGGTTGCCCATCATGCGAAGACCACGAGCGCGCCTTCGAGATCGCGAAGTTCGTCACGCTTCGCGGCTCGGCTCCGATTCCTCCTCCTCTCCTCCCCCTACAGGGCGGCGCGCGAGGGCGCGGAGAGCGGCTCGTGCCGCGGGCCTGGGGCATGCGCGACTCGCGAAGTGGGGCGCCCTTCGAGGTGGGTGCGGCGGGAAGAGGGGGGCGCGCAGACCTGCAAGATCGGCGGCGAGCGAGGGGGGGGGGACGTGAGGAGGGGAAGGCCCTCTCAGATGTTCCGACTTCACTTAGCATAATAACAAAGTTTACCAAGGCTACACTATTCCGCAATGTTCTTGGTTTTGAGTAGGTTAATCAATGTATGTAAAGATGGCCGTCCAGGTGATCAGTCCTGGGCCGTCCTGGTGATCAGTCCTAGTCTGTACTGATGATCAGTCCTAGGCTGTTTAGCCAGAGCCGTCCTTGGAGGTCCTCCTGGTCGTTCTGCGAAGCGCTCTGCGCCTCCCCCCCGAAGGCGCAGAGCGGCTCTCGGGAGGCCGCTGGGCCTTCGAGGAGTCCCGCCGCCAGCTTTCTGTCCGGCGTGCCCTCCTACAGGGGGATTTTCGACGAATACTAAAAAAATAGCAACACAATGCCCCCAAAAGGTCAAACAACACTCAAAAGATAGTCCCCAGACTAGTTTGGGAGCATTTCTGTATTATTTTTGGGGTACTTTTTATTTTTCGGCGAGAATCCCCCTGTAGGGGGACAGGCCCGACTTAACGCCAGCTCCTCAGCATGCCCGGGGGACTTCCTCGCGCCTTCCGATGGGGGCCTTCTCTTCCTCCCCAGCTTCCTCCCCCCTGTGGGGCTCGCCGCCGGACGAAGGCCGACTGCAGTGCCTGCTCCTGTTTGTGAGCACGGCTCGCCGTCGGTGTGCCGCCGCGGGCCCCTGCCCTTTTTGAAGGCAGACGGGTCCATCTGGACACGGAGCTCGGACAGATGGAAGCGGGCAGCGGAAGAAGGGGCACGAAGGCCTACAAGATCGACGGCGAGCGAGGGGGGGGGAAGCGAGAAGGAACGGCTCTTCTCAGAAGGCTCGGAGGCCCCCCCGGCGTTCTGAGAAGCGTCCTAAGCCTCCCCCGAAGGCAGAAAGCAGCTCTGATGAGGCCGGATGGCTTCTGAGAAGTCCTGCCGCCAATTGAGAGGGCCTTCTCCTTCTCACTTTCCCCCCTGAGGTCCGCCGGATCCTGCTTCAAAACCACGCAGCTCACTGTGAGCAGGACTCGCAGTGGGTGCCGTCGCGGGCCCCTGTCCACTTCCAGGCAGACGGCCGCCTCCCCGACCGCGGCCCCCGTTCGGTTGTTTTGGACAACGCCCGCTGTTGGGCATCGTGCCATTGTTTTCCGTACAGTGGGGGCCCATGCCCAGAAGTTTTCGGACGTGATGCCCGTCTTTGCATCAGGGATGATACATTTGGGCGGTTTGGTTCGACACATCTGCAGAGAAGACCCCCTATCCCTAACGTCTGTGGCCCTCCTAACTCAGGCCCTCTCTCAAAATGGTTCGGGGTCCTTCTTATTGCTAATCCTCCGTGCCGGTGAGCGACAGGGGGCGGGCTAGAGGGGGTCATGCCTAAACGGGGGGGGGTCACGGCAGGGGCCATGCCGGCTCCCTAGATCTCATGGCCCCTCGTCGTACCTCAACATGTCCCCTGCCCCCCCCCCGTCTCGTCCGCGCACATGCCTCGGGCCAGGATTTGCGTCACCCCCTCTTCTCGGCGGACGCTCCCCGGGCAACGAAGGGAGGGGGTGCCTTCGAGGCTCGAGATCTTTTTGTTGCATGCCGTCGGACGTGCTGGTGGGCTCCTGGGGGGGGGGTCCTATCATATCTGCGATGCCTCGCCGATTTCAGGTCGATGCTTCCCCCCCCCCCTGAGCCTGCCTCCCCACCACTTCTCTCCCTCAGAGGGCGATCGGGTCGGATTGGAGAGGCCTGACGGCCGGTGCCGCCGACCCTGATCGAAAGGGCTAGGAGTGGGGGGAGGAAGCGGAGGAGGAGGAGGAGGAGGAGGAGGAGGAGGAGGAGGAGGAGGAGGAGGAGGAGGAGGAGGAGGAGGAGGAGGAGGAGGAGGGGGAGGAGGAGGAGGAGGAGGAGGAGGAGGAGGAGGAGGAGGAGGAGGAGGAGATGCATCGCCGATTTCAGGTCGATGCTTCCCCCCCCCCCTCCTGAGCCTGCCTCCCCACCACTCCTCCCTCAGAGGGCGATCGGGTCGGATTCGTGAGGCGGGGGCGCCACATGCGCTCCAGGCCGCATCACGGACCCCTCACAGGTGGGGGCCCCTGCCAGGAAACACCCTGCTTGACAACAGGGTGCCCCGGGTGCCGTGGGTCTCGATGGATTTGCCTCAGAAGGCGTGACGCTCCCACACCAAACATCGAGGGACGTCCTGAAGTCTCAGGGTTGGGTTTCTGGTGGGAGGCTTCTTGTGGTTTGGACTCCACTGTATCCCCCCGCGGGCGGAGTTCTTTTGCGATAAGGAGTGCTTCGGTGCATCCCAGCGATAGCGCAGGGATGACGACGAAAGAAGGAGTTGGAAAACGGGGGGGGGGAGTAGAGTCGGGTTAGAGGATCGGGTCGGAGTTCGAAGCTGTCGATTCTTTCTGTTGATTCTCTACAGTGTTCCAGCCTCGGGATGCGTTCCGGCGCCTCGCCAAGGGTGTTGCGGGGGGTGCCCGGATCGTCCCAAATGGCCGCCGGAGACCCGAGTTATGACCCGCACATTCCTATCTAATCCAATCCACTCCTATCCTATTCCGTCCGCACATTTCGATTCCTATCTAATCCGATTTCGATTCCTATCTAATCCGATTATGAGGGAGGGCAGGGTCCATTCCTATCTAATCCGACATCGATTCCGTCCGCACAGTTCGATTCGCTCCGCCTCGGGTGACCTGGGACCAGCCCACCTCCCGGAGGCAGGGGATCAAAGGGAAGGGGCTTCCCTTCGAGTCTACTGCGATTACGACGTTGCTCAATTACGCTGTGGCTGGCGCGCTCACGGAGGAGTGCCCAGTGGAGGCGTAGACGATTACAGGGAAAGGAGAGCGCAAGGAGAGAGGACGACAGACGAGGACTAACAAATGACGGCGTCGACGACTCGAACGGGGAAACCCCTCACCCACGCCGACAGGGTCGGCGGATGACGGGAAGCGTCTTCGAGGTATGAGGTGCAAGTTGGACGTTGTGGTTGAATCTGCATCAGATCTAATTAATCATATCTTAGAGATGGTAGCTCATTGCACGGGTTTGAGGGTTAGCGGATGACGGGAAGCGTCTTCGAGGTACGAGAAGCTTCCTGGACGTTGTGGCTGAATCAGCACTATATCTAAACACCTCTTATTAATATGGGGTGGCGGATCGCACGCCATCGTTCGTTGGCAGATGACGGGAAGCGCGCTTAGATTCGAAGAGTCGCGCGATGGACGTTGCTTATGGGCCCAGATGGACGTTGCTTATGGACGTGGGAGGTCCAGGGGCTCCACCGGGGGCCCCAGTGGGAGGGTTTTTTCCACATGCGTCCTCCCAAGTCATGTCGGCACACCCCTCGCACGCTTCGTGGCGCCATAGGGATTTCCACCGAAGGCCCCAGTGGGAGAGTCCACGTGCATCCGCCCGGTCCATGTTGGCACCCCCCTCACACGCTTCGGCCCTGTGGGGAGCTCCACCGAAGGCCCCAGTGGGAGTGCCCACATGCGTCCGCACGACCATTATCGGCACACACCCCACACGCGTCGTGGCTCCATAGGGAGCTCCACCGAAGGCTCCAGTGGGAACCCCCACGTGCGTCCGCGCACACCCCTCACTCCTTCGTGGCCCCATAGGGAGTTCCTCCGAATGCCCGCCAGACCCAACGTAAGAATACCCCCCAACACGCTTCCTGGCCCCATAGGGGGCTCCACCGAAGACGACTTTCACAACTGGGTTATTCACACCTGCAAGTGTTTGGGTGTTTCGCCAGAATAGTTCATCTCATAGCTATCACGGGCGTGACCAGGGGGAGAAGGAGGAGGAGGAGGAGGAGGAGGATGGGGCCCGTCATGTCACGATTCGCGCCGGCGCCATGGGGAATGCTTAGGAATTGCTGTGGCGTCGACGAGAATCGTGACGTGACCAGGGGTGTGGCGGGCCTTGTCACGGGCTCCTGATTTCATTGTCCCCAGACGTGCGGTAATTTTTGTTTTCTGGTACGCGGCCCCCGGAAGACACCCACCCTCTCCCCAGGGCCGGTTTTTCATCCCTTCTTACAGGGTCTGGTCGTTCCTTTGGTCGTTCCTTTGGTTTGCATGCGTTCCGCTACCTTCTTGGCGGCGAGCCCCCTGGTGTTCCTTCGGACTTCCTAGACTTACTTGGAGAAAGGGGCTTCGCTCCTTCTCTATCGTTCCTTATAGGTCAGGCCGAAGATTGTATTTGTTGACGCTTGGGAGGCCTGGCGTGGACCCCTGGAGGCCGAGAGCGTCTCTGAGCCTTCCGTCGTGATGCCTGCACGTCGCGAGCATGTCTGGGCCCTCGACCCTGCGCAGCGCTTCCTCGTCGCCGCGCCTGGGCGGCCTGGGCGCCGGGCCGGCGGCAGGCTCTGGAGCGGAAGACCCTCGGGGCCGTCGTCGCTGGCGGCGGCGCCGTGGACCACCAAGGTCACGAAGGCAGCGGGCGCGGGGCCCCCGGGGGTGAGCAGGGGAACGAGATGTTTGGATTCGCGGGTCGAGAGCGCACCTCTTCCGGTCGAAGCTGAGCGGGCCGCGCGAAGCTCGAATTCACCAGGGATGGGGGAGGTGAGCAGGGGAACAAAAAGTGACATAAGCAGAAACACTCGGAGGTCCGCGCGGAGTTCTCGGATCGGCGCTGGACCCCCCCTCCCTGGCGCGCGGAGCGCGCCAGGGGCGGCGCCGGGGGCGCCGCCGAGGGGCCCCAGCGCCGATCCGAGAAATCCGCGCGGACCTCCGAGTATTTATGTTCATGCCACTTTTTGTTCCCCCAGTGTGGGCTCTGATGAGGTTAGAGGCGCTGGGTGCGTTTTTCTGGGCCTCCTAGAGGGGGTCGGGCCAGATGGGCTCGGAGGCTCGCGCCGCATCGCCGATGCATCGACGATGCGGCCAGATGTGGAGCCCGTGTTTCCCCACGCCGACGTCGCCGATGCATCGGCTATGCATCGGCTATGCATTGGCGATGCGGCGCGATCCTTCTACCCCGTCTCCTCGGACCTCATCTAGGAGGCCTGTAGTTCTTTTCCGCCGTCTCAAGGTCGGCGCGTTTTTTGTTCAGTGTCGGGATTCTCGTTCGCGCCGTTTTCGGCTCCGTTCCGTTTGCATTGCCGTTCTTGTTGTGCGTTGGGTTGCCGCGTTTAGTTTCCCAACTTTCTTGTGTTGGGTTTGACTTTTGAATAAAGCCTTGCTGTCGCACACCTCCTCCTCCCCCCTCCTCCTGCCTCCTCCCGCGCTGCTCCCTGGGTGGCTGGAGCCACTTTCGTGGGCTCTTGGGAGGCACGGTGGAGCAGCAGAGTTCCCGAAACTTCACAGCTCCGTGGGTGGTATTGTCGCCGATTTCGTGCGCTCCTGGGAGGCACGGCGGGATAGCGGAGTACCCGAGACCTCGCAGTTTCCTGGGTGGTTGCGAGTTGCGCAACTGTCGCCACTTTCGTGGGCTCCTGGGAGGCACGGCGGACTAGTGGAGTTCCCGAGACCTCGCAGTTCCTTGGATGATTGCGAACGCGCAAGTGACGCAATTTACGTGAGTTCCTGGAAGGACGGCGGGATAGCGGAGTACCTCGCAGCTTCTTTGGTGGTTGCGAACTGCGCAGTTTTCCCCAGTTTCGTGGGCTTCTGGGAGGCACGGCGCAGTAGCGGAATAACCGAGACCTCGCAGTTCCTTTGTGGTTGCGAATTTCGCAGTTGTCGCCTCTTTTGTTGGCTCCTGGGAGGCACGGCGGAGTAGCGGAGTTCCCGAGACATCGCAACACTTTGGGGGGTTGCGAAGTGTTCAGTTCCCTCCAGTTTCGTGAGTTCGTGGGAGGCACGGCGGAGCAGCGGAGTACCCGAGACCGCGCAGTTTTTTCCTAGCTCCAAACTATAGAATTGTCGACATGTTCGTGGGCTCCTGGGAGGCACGGCGGAGTGGCGGATTTCCCGTGACATCTCTGCTCCGTGGGTAGTTGCGAATTACTCAGTTGTCGCCACCTTCGTGCACGCCTGGGAGGCACGGCGGAGTAGCGAAGATCCCGAGACCTCGCAGGTTCTCGGGTGGTTGCGAGTTGCGCAATTGTCGCCACTTTCGTGGGCTTCTGGGAGGCGCGGCGGAGTAGCAGAGTACCCGAGACTTCGTAGGTCTCTAGGTGGTTGCGACATGTTCGTGGGAGGCGCGGCGGAACAGCGAAGAACCCGATACCCCGCAGCTTTCCAGGTGGCTGCGACTGCGTAATTGTCTACAGTTTCGTTGGAGGCACGGTGACGTTGCGAAGTACCCGAGACTTCGCAGCTCCTTGGACGAATTGCCCACTTGTCGCCACTTTCGTGGGTTCGTGGGAAGCACGGTGGAGTAGTGGAGTACCCGAGTCCTCCGAGCTTCCCTGGTGGTTTCGAATTGCGGCTGGGACGCACGGCGGAGTAGCAAAGATCCCGAGACCTCGCAACTCTGTGGGTGTTTGCGAGTTGCGCAATTGTCGCCATTGTCGTGGGCTTTTGAGAGATCCAGCGGAGCCAGAGGCCCGCGATTCCAGACGAGGGTGGCTGCGAACGGCGCAATTGTCGCCGCTTTCGTGGGTTCCTGAGAGGTCCAGCGGAGTCGGGGGCCGCGCGGACCTATTCGGGACCTCGCTGCACCCCGGGAGGCTGCGGACTGCACAACTGGTACCATGTTTGCGGGCTCCTGGGAGGCACGGCGGAGTCGGGGGCCACGTACTCCCGTTTGACGCGGATCCAGTCGAGACCTCGATGCTCACTGACTGGCTTCGAGCTGCGCAACTGTCGCTACTTGCGTGAGCTGCCGAGAGTTCCAGCGGAGTCGGGGGCCACGCGCAGCCAGACGAGACCTCGCTGTTCCGTGGGTGGTTGCGAACTGCGCAATTGTCGCCACTCTCGTGGGCTCCTGGGAGGTCCAGCGGAGTCGGGGGCCACGCGGATCCATTCGAGACCTCGCTGGGAGGCTACGAATTGCGCAACTGTCGCCCTTCTCGCGGGCTCCTGGCAGGCACGGCGGACATGAGGGCAGCCCTGGTCGTGCATATCTGGCGATGTGCTCGTTCGTTTGACGCGGTCATACAAATATTCGCCTCGCGTGGAGAAGGGGTCTGAGTACGTCTCGGGTACTTTCCGTTCTGGCTGGCTGAACCCCGAGAATTTGAGAACGGACAAAAGAACCAGTGTTTTTAACATCAATCGAGGGGGGGCGAGGGGCTCTTTACGTTTTATCATTTGGGGGGAGGGCTCTCCTGTTCCGTCATCTGGCTGTATTTTTCCTTGCACTCCGGCGCGGGCCCGACGCAGACCCGACGTGGACTCGACACGCCTCCGACGCGCTCGACAGGGATTCCGCGCTGACTCGACGCGACTAGCTGGCGCGATGGGGCAGACGAGTTCCCCCGAGGATGCAGCTAGGGGACCACATGGGAACCCTACCCCTACCCCCCACGACTTCTGAGGGGAAGGGTGGGGTTCACTTGGCTCAGAAATCAGAAATCACGAAGTGAACCCCGCCCTCCCCCTCAGAAATCGTGGGGGGTAGGGGTAGGGTTCGCATGTAGCCCCCTGGCAGCGTGAGGCTCTCTCTCTCTCTCTCGTGGTGCTGCTTCGCCTCCTGCTTCCGGAGGGGTCTGCCCCCCTGTCGCAGGCGTCGTTTCCTTGCTTGTCTCGGCGGTGCCTCGCACCACCGCTGCCGTGCGCGTGCCCTCTGCGCCGCGAGCCTCTGGAGCCCCGTCGATGCAGCAGCTGCCGCGGGTGCACCCAGGGACGCAAGGGGAGTAGCCCTCAGAGGAGGAGGAGGTATCGCTACCGCCTCTCTTCGCCCGTTGTTCCCTTTTTGGGGTTCCTCGGAGGCCCTCGTTGCCACCGCTGGATTTGCCCCGGTTGCATTTTGAAGACGAGCCGGTGTCCTGTCTGGTAACTCTTGAACGACGCTTTTTGCCACCAGTGCGCGCGGCGTTGATGTTAGAGCCGCATGTTGAGATCGACTGGCCGTCGGCCCTCCATCCATGTAACTGATGGAAATGTTTGACAGGGCTGGACCTGAATGCTGTGTTGCTGGACTTAAGCTGTGTTTTATTTTTCGCTCTGGCAGGGAGGTAACAGAAAACAGGTAGAGCAAAACAAAAAACGAAACGAAAGCAAAACGAAAAACAGCGTTCAGATCCAGCCCTGGCTTTTGAGGCGAATGTGCGTGGCGCTGGGGCGCGAGCCCCAGTTTGAAACCATCCGGCTCTGCACCTTCTTACCCGGAGCTGTAAGTTGTAGGATCGCAATGTGGACGACCGTCGCAGGGGAAATGCCCAGCCCAGCCTGCGGACACGTGTGGTGGTGCGACAGGGGGGGATGCATAAGAAAGCACGGCTGATGAAGGAGGAGGCGGCGGCCCTTCTCCACAATCGCTCCTCCCCCTCGCGTTCTCCCCTTCTTCTCCTGTCCCCCTCCCTCCTCCATTGTTCCCCTTCCCCCTTGCCCCTCTTCCCCATCCAAATCCCCCCGCCCCCCCCCGTTTATCTCCCCTCGTCCCTCTGTTCCTCTGTCCTTGCTGGGGAGGCGGCAGATGAGGAGCAGGGGCAATGCTGACGAGGATGGAGACTGAGGGGGCGGCGAGGCGGGGAGGAGAGAGGGAGCAGCTGCAGAGGGAAGTCTGTGGGGCCCGGGGGTGATGGAAGGAGGGAAAACTAGAGGAGCAGGAGGAGGAGGAGGAGGAGGAGGAGGAGGAGGAAAGGAGGAGGAGGAGGGGGAGGAGGAGGAGGAGAGGAGGAGAAGGAGGGAGGAGGAGGAGGAGGAGGAGGAGGAGGAGGAGGAGGAGGAGGGGGGAGGGAGGAGGGGGAAGGAGGAAGGAGGAGGAGAGGAGGAGGAGGAGGAGGAGGAGGAAAGGAGGAAGTGGAGGAGCACGAGTCAGTCCAGGTAGCCGCAGGCTGTGGGGCATGCGCGCCAGATTTTGTCCAGAAGCCTTCCCCAGGAGTGCCATAGCCCAGCTCGCGAGCATGACAAGAACGTCTCACATCCAATTGAGGCCGGCAGGGCCCCGATCATCTGTTGGCTCGGCCAGAGCCTGAGCGACAGCTGGATGGGCCACCTGCGGTGTCATGCTTGGTTTTGTTCCCAACCATCCTGTGGTGCTGGGTCCTCGCTCAGGAGATACAGCGCCGCGCGATCCTGCCTTGCTCCTCTTCCTCACTCCTCTTCCTCCTCGTCCTCCTCCTCTCCTCCTCCTCCTCCTTTCTCACTCCTCCTCCTCCTCCTCCTCCTCCTCCTCCTCCTCCTCCTCCTCCCCATCCTCCTCCTCCAACATCACCACCATACCGGCGCACCTCTCACACGCTTCGTGACATCAGACGCAGGGCCCAGTCGCAGGGCCCAGAAGCGTTCGCCCGAGTCATTTCGCCACACCCCTCATATGCTTCGTGGCCCCATAGAGCTCCACCGAAGGCCCCAGTGGCAGTGTCCACGTGCGCCCGCGCCAGCAATTTCGGCACACCAAGCACGCGTTTTGCGGCATAGGTGGCTCCACCGAAGGCCCCAGTGGCAGGGCCCACATGCGTCCGCAAGACCCGTGTCGGCACGCCCTTCCCACGGAGAGCTCCACCGAAGGCTTTTGGACGCCTGATCCATGTGCCTCCGTTCGGCCCCTCTTGCCACACCCCTTCCATGCTTCGTGGCCCCCCAAAAGGGGCTCCACCGAGGGCCCCAGTGGCAGTGTCCACGTGCGTCCGCACGACCCATTTCGGCACGCCCCGAACGCGTTCCGTGCCCCCCCCCTATAGGGAGCCCCACCGACGGCCCCAGTGGCAGGGCCCACGGGCACCCGCGCGACCCATGTCGGCACACCCCTCGCGGACGCTTCGTGGCCCCTATAGGGAGGGAGCTCCACCGAGGGCCCCAGTGGCAGGGTCCACATGCGTTCGCCCGACCAATTCGGGCACACCCCTCACACGTTTCGTGGTCCCATGGGGAGCTCCACCGAAGACGACCCCCGCGCTTGCGTCACTCAGAAATCGTGTGTGTGTGTGTGGGTCGTTCGCCAGGGTCTTTGTCGGGGGGGGGCCTCCTTGACGCTGGCCCCTGCGGCGGTGCCCCAAGCCGAGGAATGGTGACAAAATGTTAGTCGTGGTGGGCCACCTCCGATTTATTCCCCAACAATGATGTGGTGTTGGGTTTTCGCTTTGAAGAGAAAGCGACCCGCGTCACCTCCTGCTTCCCTCCGCCTCCTCCCTCCTTCTTTTTCTTCATCATCACCGCCATCATATTCATCCTCATCATCATCATCATCATAATCGGAATCGTTATTATTATTATCACCATCGTCACCGACAGCATAGTAATCAGCAACATCAGCATCATCATGATCATCATAGTCGTCCTCATCGTCAGCAGCATAGTAATCATCATCGTCATCATCATGATCATCATACTCATCCTCAGCATCATCATCATCAGCAGCAGCACCAGTATCATCAAGATCATCACCATCATCATCATCATCATCATCATCATCATCATCATCATCATCATCGCCGCCATCGTCAGCATCATGAACATCAGTGCCGTCATCAGCATCAGCATCAACAACATTATCAACATCATCATCATCATCATCATCATCATCATCATCATCATCATCATCATCATCATCGTCATCGTCATCGTCATCGTCATCGTCATCATCATTCTCGCCATCAGTTGCGGCACGTCCCTCACACATGTTTTGTGGCCCCACAGGGAGCTCTGCCAAAGGCCCAGGTGGCGCCGCCCGCATGTTGGCGACACACCCGTTTCGGCATAACCCTCACACGTTTGGTGGCACCGTAGGGAGCTCTACCTAAGTTCCCATTGGCGCCGCCCGTACGTGGGAGATACGCCGTTTTGGCACACCCTCCACACGTTTCGTGGCCCCAGCGGGAGTTCTACCAAAAGTCCCATTGGCGCCGCCCGCAAGTGGGAGACAAAACCGTTCGGGCACGCCCTTCGTGGCCCAGGCGGGATCTCCACCGAAGGCCCCAGTGGCGCCGCCCGCATGTGGGCGACACCCCCGTTTCGGCACACCCTTCACACGCTTCGTGGCCCCATAGGGAGCTCCACCGAAGGCCCCATTGGCGCCGGAGGCATGTGGAACACCGCCGTTTGGGCGCTCCCCTTACACGTTTCGTGGTCCCGTAGGGAGCTCCACCGAGGGCCCAGTTGGCGCAGCCCGAATGTGGGCGACACCCCGTTCCAGCAAACCCCTCACACGTTTCGTGGCACGGTAATTAGGGAGCTCCACCGAAGGCCCCAGTTGCTCCGCACGCACGTGGGCGATACCGTCGTTTCGGCATAACCCTTACGCGTTTCGTGGCACCGTAGGGAGCTCTGCCTAAGGTCCCAATTGGCGCCACCCGCACGTAGGAGACACGCCGTTTCGGCACACCCTTCACACGCTTCGTGGAACCACAGAGAGCTATCGAAGGCCCCAGTGGCGCCGCCCGCATGTGGGCGACACCGCCGTTTCGGCACACCCCTTTCTTTTCGCGGCCCAAAAGTGAGCTCCACCTAGTCCCAGTGGCGCAGCCCGCATATGGGCGACACACTCGTTTCGGCACGCCCCTCACACGTTTTGTGGCTCCATAGGGAGCTCCACATAAGGGCCCAGCGACACAGCCCGCACGCGGTCGTTGCCCCATAGGGAATTCCACCTCAGACGGTACTCACAATTGCGGCACTCACAACTGCATGTGGTTGGGCTCTTCGCCAGGCTAATTTTATCACATGAGTATATACTCGGATCTGGACCATTAGTTAGGCCAGAGGCAAGAGGAGGAGAAGAAGGCGGATAGGGGATGATGATGATGATGTTGATGATGATGATGATGATGATGATGATGATGATGATGATGATGATGAGGAGGAGGAGGAGGAGGAGGAGGAGGAGGAGCAGGAGGAGGAGGAGGAGGAGGAGGAGGAGGGGAGGGGGAGGCGGGAGTGAGCGGAGATGGGGAAGGAGGGGGAGGAGTGTATCGGGAGGGCAGGGAGGCCAAATGCCGATGAGGAGGAGGAGGAGGAGGAGGAGGAGGAGGAGGAGGAGGAGGAGGAGGGCGACGACGACGAGGAGGAGGAGGAACAGCGGGAGGACGAGGACGTGGGCGGCGCCGTGGCGCACGCGCAGGGCGGCGACGCCTCGCTGCTGCCGGCGATCGCGCCCAGCGGCTCGGTGGCGTGGAGCGTGCGCATGGCCAAGGCGGGGCGCCCGGGTCGGGTCGGTGCCCGCCCGCCTGCCCTGCAGCGGAGGCGCCCAGGGAGGGGGTGGATTGCTGCGGGGGGGGCGGGCGGGCGCCTGGGCCAGGCGATCGTCCCGGGACGGCCTGGCTCTTTCGAAGAGGAAATCAGTCTTAAGTCGGGCCTGTCCCCCTACAGGAGGATTTTCGACGAAAAATATAAAATGCCCTAAAAATAATTAAACAATACTCCAAACATAGTCTGGTGACTATTTTGTGAGTTCTTTATTACCTTTTTGGTGTATTTTTTATTTTTCGTCGAAGATCCCCTCCCTGGCGCGCGGAGGACGCCAGGGGCGGCGCCTGAGGCGCCGCCAGGGGGGGCCCCAGCGCCGATCCGAGAAATCCGCACGGGCCTCCGAGTTTTGATGCTTCTGTCATTGCTCGTTCCCCTTATCGTGCCGCATCGGCGATGCATCGGCGATGCGGCTCGATGTATGGCTCAATGTTCTCCACGCCGACGTCGCTTTGGCGAGAAGACAAAAGGGCAGAACAAAAAAGGTAGAACACAACGCAATTTTCTCCAATCCAAAAGGGCAGAACAAAACGCAACGGCATTGTGGTGATTTTAGAGCTTCATTTTTAGCGATTCTTGGCCAGTCGTTGTGGATCACATTTGTGTATTGCTTTTTGTTTTCTGGTCGGAGGTTGATCCCTGTCTTCCCTGTTGCTTTCGCTCCCGCTCGTTTCTGCCGTCGTTCTCCCTCTCGAGCTAAAAGCGCCTGGAGGCCCAGTGGCCTCAGGAGCGGCAATCGGCCATCGGGTCCGCCAGACTGCGCGCCAGGAAAAGGACTGCACGCCAGGAGAAGGCATTCAGGACGTCGCAAATGGCAATGTTCAGCGAGGCAGCCAACTGGTCTGAAAACGCATGAAACATGTACCTGGAACACAACACAATGAATCGTTGTTTTGTGTGCGTTGTTAGTTTTCGTGTTGGGACCTAGCAGCGGTCCAACAAAACTGTAAAAAAACACGCTCTGGGTAGATTTAAGAAGCACCAAACCGAAGCGTCCAGGACGGCCACGAGAGACACGAACTATACCCCGACAGCCGAGCGACCCTTTACCCTAACTACCTTCTGCTCGTGCCGCATGGGGCTCCCCGACCGTTGAGTGCGATGCGATTCCACGCTGCGCGCTTCGGTGCCTGTTTTTTTTTTCTCCCGCCTCCTCCTCCTCCTCCTCCTCCTCCTCCTCCTCCTCGTCCGCTTCCAACCGTAGCAGTTTTGGGCCCAGATGCCCGCTTCCCGGGGTGTGAAGGTGACGAAGTGGACACCGCTGATCTGCGGCCAGACTTTGGTTCAAGGTGAGCTCTTGGAAAACGGCGGCCCTCTTTCCATCGCGGCAGATGGGGTGGTGGGTTAATTGAGGCGTGTCTAGTTCCTGCTGCCCTATCTGCCGCGTACCGCATGCCACATTCCTTCGCCACGCGCAAGAAAAACCAGGCAGCGAAGGCCAGCAATGGCTCTGCTGGTGTTTCTTGTCCTCTTTCTCCTGGGCGTACTATTCCACAGTATGGCTCGCAAGCGCGCGACGACGATCGCTCCACGTTTTGCCGCCCCGCCTTCGATGGCAGCGACGATGGCATTGACACGCGGTCATGGGACCCATATCGCAGGAGTCATTGGTGAAAGGCTCTCCTCCAAACCTTCGGGGTTCAACGCCGAGTTGGGTGACCTCGTGGCGGGACTCGGCAAGACAACGTCTGACAGCGCAACTTCGCTCGCCCGCACAGCAATCAAGGCATTGGACGCTGCTCTTCAACATGTCAAATATTCATGTAGGCCATATATATATATGTATATATATATATGAAAATCGGTCAGGCCCGACATCGGCTCCTTTGAGCGCCGCTTCCAAGCGCAACCCGACACACCTGCGACGAGAGTTGGCGCTATGTACAACAGGACCACACACAAGCAGGTCGACGACATGCGCGCCTCCACGGACGACATGCTGAACGAACTCGCGATGACTAGGCGTGCTTTCCCGCCACCATGCATGGATACATATTCGTTCAAGCCAAACTTGGGCGCTCAAATGTTTGAAGTGGTGGCCCCATACCTCGTGCGCGGCACAGATGTGCTCGCCCCCATCGAAGAGCGAGCGATTCAGGACGGTTGACATCATAGATAGCATTTTTGTCGGCGGTTCGGGGTGGCCAGATATTTCCGGCGCAACTCACAGGTTTAGCGGCGTCGTTGGCAAGAGGGCGCAGAAGGCGATTTCCGCTTGCCCGTTTCCTGGTGAAGGTCCATGGGCCCGCTCTTCTGTGCCCGATGCTTCTGGGGACTCGACGCAGCTTCGCGCTCGCCGAGGTAAGAGTCCCTGTCAGATCAAGCTGGAGATCCCTTGCTGCAAGATCGCAAACCTCCTCCGCGAGCAGTTTACCGACTGCAAGGTCATCTCTGGCACGCAGAATGGTGGACCCTTGAAAGTCGGAGCCCCAACCGTAGTTTGGAGCCGCAGCCTGGGCGTGGCGCGACCAAATGCAACTGGCATGAAGCAGCCCTGGTGCAACGCGGGCCATCCAGGGAACAGCTCGTCCAGTTCTCGAAACCGGTCGTGTCAACCGAGTCTCCCGAATGGTTTCTTCGCGTCTTCGACGGCTTCTTCCAGCAAGAGGTTGTGGGTCCTCCAGTTTCGATTGAGTTGGTAGTTTGGCATGGCCAGGCCCTTATTCGTTGGCGCGGTTCGATCGCCGGGCAGGCTTGGCTCCTACCCGCGCAAAACTGGCATCATTAACGCGACCTTCGCTCTGCGCGAAGTGCACCAGGACCTCGACGAGCTCAAGATCTGCATGAAATAGATCGCCTCAGACTCGAACGTGTTTGGCTTTCGAGGCAGCTAGGGACGGTCACAATCGCGGTGGCGTTGTCACTGCAATCCCTGTTTCGTTTTCGGGGGGTGCGTTACAGGCAGTTTCGCGGCAGCCTCATTGAGAAGTTCTGGATTTCAGCGCGCCTAGTCACGGTTAGACGGCGGGGCAGGTCCACGGGGCGCGCGAGCATGTCCAAAGAGGGTTGGTCCAGGCCCAAGGCGATCATAGTTCGACGCTGAAGATGATTCGCGGGGCTTTCACCTGCGTTCACACTGACCAGATATTTCCGATTAGGCCCGAGCTGGCACGCCTCTGGCGGCCAGAGATCAGTCAAACAGATGGACTTATCTTAGCTGGTCAATGGCGACGCAGAGCAGCTCTCGAAGAAGGAGTTCAAGGCGCGCAGCTGTTCGCCTCCCCCATCGACGTCGGGCGCTCGACGAAGCTGCCGCGGAGCCCTTGCCCAAGCGCGCCCTCGGGAGCGACGGGCCCGACGCTGAGCCGGGCGCGCTCGTCGGGGCAGACATGGGCGCCGCCTGCGCGCGTGGAACGGCGCAGAGATCTTCCGGCGAAAGCTGCGTGGGACACTGATCTGCAGAAGTTTCAAGGGTCTTCGCGCGGCAAGCTGCCAGCTCCATCTGGCGCCAGGATGCGGCCCTCGCAATCGAGGTTTGCAACTCGCCAGATGCTGCTCGCGGGCGCACTGGAGCGGCGGAAGGGGCGGTCATCTTGGTAGACCACGCAGCGTTTTATGCTTGGACACAGACGGCCCACCATGGCTCTGCAGCTTCGGGGCTCCAGGGGGCCCTAGGCTCTTGCCATCGCAGGCGGCGGCAGGGGTCAGCTGTCTCTAGCGATAATCACGGCAATGCGTAGGAAGGTTTTGATTTGGACCTCCGCCGGCACAACGTTTCGCTCTTCGCGACATCATGGCGGGGGAGAAGGTGCCATTCTCGGCCGTGGAGAAGCTGGCTGCTCTCACCGACCACGGGGCACCTGCCCCCCCATGCGGGCCGCGCAGTCTGCCTCTGCAAGCGCATGCCTCGCAGAGTTTATCCCGTCGTGCAGTTTCGCTGGGCACCCACCGCCGTCGCAGCGCATTTTGGAGCCGGCCCCCGAGAAGTTGGACCCGTCGCGCTTGGCCCCTGGGTTTGATGGTCCACCTTGCATGGCGCGGGCTGCGCGTGAGCTTGGCGCCCAAGTGCTCTGCCCAACCTGCAAGTGGACGTCGTCGTAGGAACCGTCATTCGGCGCGCCGCCGCCGGCATTCTCGCAGGAAGACTGCCTGGACACCGATGAGGGCGATTCCAGCGTCGCCCGTTTCCCAGGCGCCGTCCGCGCGCGTGATCTTCGCTGCGCTGGCGCGAAGACCGTCTCCGCCACGATCAACGCAACGCTGATCCCCGTCGCCAAGCAGACCACATCGTCGACGTTGCGCGTTTTCGTTCCTGGCAGGCAGGCCAACGCCAACATCGTAGAGCTGAACACGTTAGCAAGAACGGCCATTGCCCCCCCCTGTGGCGCGGTCGAAGCACCCGCTGATCATCGCCTTCGACTTCGGACAAGCGTTTCCAACTCTAAAGCAAGACGACATGATGGTGTTGCTGAATGTGCTTCGATGTCCTTCTGCCCCCGCCCCCGCGATTCGATGTGCGCGCGGTGTTATCTCCGCTTTTGGCAGGACAGTGCGCCTCATGTTGGAGATATTCTGGATCGCACGCGGGAGCACCAATGGGTGCGAGCAGTGTGATTGTTTACACGTCAGCATCTGCTTGGATCGCTTGCGCCTGGGAGTGAAGCGCCGCGCCTTGGGCGAGCCGTTTGGCAGTTTCTTCGCGGCAGCTGCGCCGCCCTGCCTGGGAGACATGAGGTTGGGAACGAAGCGCCGCGCCTTGGGGGTGTTTCAGGCTCGCGCAGCTGAGTTCGCCGGCGTCTCTTCGACGCCGTGGGCCTCGGCGCGCCAGCTGAGGCGATCGCGGCGACGAGCTCTCGAACTCCGGGCTCGAGCCATTCCAATGCGCGGCGGCCGCGCTGGCTTGCCCGTTCCCGATTGGCGCCGCTGTCGAGCCTCGCGACATCGCCAGCGCTGTTGCTTTTAAGTGTCATTTTCCCCGCGCCGGATCGCAGCTTTTGCATCCTGGCA